GGTCAAAAATGGGAAAATTAATTTCAAATAATGTTTATCATTATGTAAGTTATTTTTTAAGGTAAGGAATTGTGAAATGCCCCATGTGATCAACTAGACCGACCATGAGTCACCTGATGTCTCGTTTTCGATCTCCGACTCTTTTATGCACGTTTACGGACATATAAAGCTTGTAGACAACTCTGGTCTAAGTCACCAAGCCATCGAACCCACCTTCTACGTATGTGATACCTCTCTTATCAATAGACGACTTGTTAATCTGATTGACGAACTGACTGTCAGACTGATAGTTGACAAAACCTAGTGTTTACAGCCATGCCAAGTCGGGGATATACGTACAAGAGCTCTGGGACAAATTCACAGGCATGTACTCACTATCGTCACAATTCTACTGGTCTGCCGTCCGACTGACTATCATTGTTGTTGTTGTTGGAATTTCTCTTCGCTGTTAGGGCAATCATTATTGTGCCCGCGATTACGGATCTTCTGCAGCAAACCAGAACTCCTATCATTACTCTAATGGTAAGTCCCGCTGTTCTCACTATCGAAATGCGTTGAGCTGAAGGATTGGATTGTCAGCAAATGGTTCATACTATTACAGCAACCCTGGCGGAAGCACGTACTACGACAGTGGCAAGGGCCAATCGGTCTATACTCCTCCTGATGCAAATAACTCTCAAAGCAAGTAAAAGTATTGCTTGCCTTTATGGCCGATTTTCGAGATGGGATGGTTGAGAAAACGATTTGACCAGCTCCTTTGAGTATTTGTAGATATTATGCAAATACAGGATAGTCAATTTCTGGGTTACGCATATTTACACTAAATTGGTCCTTCATGCTATGGGCCATGTCCAACTATCGAGTGACGCACAAATTATTCCTCAGTAATTACCTTGATCATTGTAGATCTTCTCAGGCAGTGTCTGGAAGACGAAGGACATGCATGGAGCATCCGTTCTCGGACGGCTGTAATGAGATCGCAAAAAGAAAGAGGGCTATAAGTCCACGAAAGAACATGCCCACTTGAAGGCTTGTGCTGCGAGGACATGCACGCAGTTCTTCCCTGTGCCCGTTAGGAAAAGCTTTATGATTCATACTTTGTGAGTTTACTACTGGTCGCAGGCAGTTTCGCCGATTCGTTATTACCCGCCAATGCTCCAACACTATACTGGCGTGCGGCATTATCCAATCAGAATATAAGATTCGGTTTTTATGACCCGTCCAAAGTGGATCATCGCGTGGGTCAAACACCAAGACTTGAAGTTGCTGGGCCGGTATTTTGAAGGAAGGGAAAGAAAGAGAAAGGCAAAGGATGGGCTCACGGGTTTATCCGAAAGGCCGGACCGGTAGAGCCGGCCAAAGCAGCTCGTGGTAAAGAACGGTCATCAAAGTCATTCGACGGTGGAGATGTGCCGATTGACCCAAAGCTGCATCAGTCACGAATATTTTCAGTTAAAAAAAATACGTATTATACGCGCATAGCACTGACAATTGGGGAATTAAAGATTGAATAATTTCAATAATATGAATAAACGCGAATTGCGTGCATGGACGCGTCACTGCACGTGGCAAGATGGTCGAATCCTGTGTCAAAGACTACTATTGCATGTGTTGGTGAGCGACGCGTAATTGCCCGTATAGATACATCAGCTTGCGTGTGCGCCTCACCCGTCTTTTGTTCCCTTTCCTTTGTGCTCTCCTCTCATGGATTCCGCGGGTTCAACAGAAATACAAGCCCGCATCCAAGAGTTCTTGAACTCAAATCCTGCTGGTCTCAGTCGAGCTCTGAAGATGGATGATGATGAGGGCTTGTCCACACCTATCTCCCCAGTGGAGGAGTCACCAGACATTTCAGCGGACTCAGAAGAAGCTATTCTTTCCAGACAGCGAGCTGCTTTAAGAACGTATATCGATTCTGTGCCCTACGACTGCGAGTCACCAGAGGAGATGGAGGAGAAACTTGCGAATATTGTTGACATGATCTATATCTCAGCAAAGTCTGACCAGCTGGATCTAATGCGTAGTTGGGATGGGGTGCTTAGCACGTGTGTCGAACTTCCTTCTGGACCATGATATTGTATACTAACCTGTCATACGAGCAGTTGGCTTCTTTTGAAGTATCCCATCGTAAAAGCCAAGCGGATCAAGCTTCTTCAATATTATTATAATCTCTGTGTTGTACCGGCCGACTCTCATCTTGTAAATGAAAGGGTCAAGATGTTTGCTGCTTTGCTCCCGCACAAGCGCGATTATCTCGCATCACTTGGTGTGAAGGATCTTGTTCTTGACTGGCGACCTCTTTGGCGCGTATTAAAGAAGGAACTTTGGCCCATGAAGAGACTTATGGATCCTTCGTGAGTACACCCACTATCTTCGCATTGGGCGAAATCGTGACGTTATTGTGGTAGCCGCAACGTAGCAAATATCTATCTTCAACTTGCAGAAATGAGTAAGCGATTCTTTCCAGGAAACGAAGTCAAGAACATCTTGGGCACAATTTTGCCACTACTCAGTCCTGACGTAAGTATATCGACCAGTACCCGAAAATCGTATTAAGACATTGACTTCATACTGTTTACTCTAGACTTTTCTCAGCATTGTTCCAGTCCTAACGTCATTCATTCCTCATTCCCGCCCGCAAGACTACTTGCCTGCTCTGTTCTCAATCTGGGAAACATTTAACTCTAACATTGTAGATGAGAGAATGATCGAGCTTATGGCGGAGCTTGCGGAGGAACATGTCTCTGGCTCAGCTGGACCACTCGGAGAGGATGGAGCTACAGCTTGGAGCGAAGTTGGTATTTGGAATGAGCAGCAGTGGATCTTCCTCGCTGGAAAATGCCTCGGGTCTATGAGTATGATATCCTTTGTTCTTTAGTATTCATCTTATTTAATTATTGCAGATGTGCCGATTGGAGGCGCAAAGGTCTGTGGGACTAATATCAGACCTTGGTCAGATTGTGTTCATACCTCACTAGGGAGCGAGTACGACGGCCGGTCATGCGGATATGGCGGGAATGAAAAATAGTTTGCGAATCAAGAAGCCGATCAACAAGAATCGTTAGTGCTATTCCTCGTCATGTTTGACTATTTTTGACTATGCTCGTCAAGATGCCTTGGCAAAATTGATTGTCTATTCCATTTCAGTTGATGGACCCGTTAGAACTGACACGTCTCAAGCGTCTCACAAGCAGGGACAAGGTCATTTAGGCTTCCTTGCTGGTTCAAAAGCCCTAGACTCTCTGGAAAGGATTATAACTAGTGCTGAAACGTATTTTCACCCATCTAATTCTGGTCATTGGACACTCAGTGTAAGTATTCTAAGCTCTTTGTCTCAACTTTCCCCCCCTGAGCAATACATTTTAACCGCATAACTGCAACTGTAGCTCTCGAGCTTCCTGCAACGCCTTGCATCCGAGTTCTGTAAACGCTGGAAAGAAGAGGAGGAGCCGAAATGCAAGACACCAGCTGTGAGTCGATTTGACATCAGTAAAATAATGAGTAGCTGATCGTGTTGTCACTAGTCGCAGCGACTTACTCATGCTACCCGGCATTCGTTCGTCCTGCTCTTGAGGACACCCATGCTTCTTGCTCTATTCGCAAAAGATCCTCTTTCAATGGGGCTTGCACAGGGCGCGTTGAGAAGTTTGGCTTTGCTCGAGCCGGGGCTTGTGATGCCGCAACTACTGGAACGCGCATACAGTGGTTTGGAGGTCGTTAATGAGACTCACCGTACTACCGCAGTACTAAGTATGCTTTCTGGTGTTGCTCTTCCCCTTGTGTCAGAGCGGCTATGGCGTGGAGGACAAAAACATCTTATTCCACTTCTTGAGCTTTGTCTTCCGGGCATTGACCTCGTAAGTCCCTTTGCACGGACGTTAGCTATATTTATTTACCCTGGTATTCCTCTCTTCACGAATTATGACCGCAATAGAACGACCCATCTAAGACGATCTGTGCCACGCTTTTCATCTGCTCTGCTTTACAGCACGTTAGGGTTGGAGACCTCTCCATACACGCCCAGTCTGCTGGTATTATTGTTTCTGACGATGGCCCGTCTGATGAGATGTCAATGGACGTTGAGGGGGAATCTAGTCGCTTGCCCGATGGGACCGAAGGCTTCTTCCCAGTACTTAGTAAGGAAGAAGAACGTACGCTCGCCAGAGACAGCACGGCTGGGTTCGCAGGTGAGCAATTTCAGCAAGGCCCTACCACCTGCTAACTAATGCAAATCACAAAAGACTGGGTCACCTCGCTATTTCGACGTGTCTTCGCACTTTATGAGAACCTGCCTGAGGAAGGTGGAAGAAGGAATACGACGGGTGGAAAGTCAGAGGAAAGCGTCTTAAGGTCGATCAAGAACATGCTAGACGTTGTCTGCCTGCATCTATCTGATCCACTTTTTGATCTTGTACTGAGAGTTGTTTATGACTATGCAACGACGAATACGAAGTCAAACGCCGTGCGTGCGATTGGGCAGCTCGTGGCTTGCCTTGCTCGAGCGAAACCACAGTTGACGACAGATAAATTTCTCCCCTTCTGCGTGCAGCAGATCAAGGAGGAGTTGAAGCATGGAGCTTCAAGTATAAGGACGACTTCGTCACATGCGGCTGTTCCTTCTGACACAACATTACATTGGAGTGAGTCACATATTTGATAGCCAGACGTGCTGCTTGTTAAATATTAACTTTAGATATTTCCTTGCTGCGAGGGTGTCTTGGATACGGTGGACCCGCCGTAAGTTCTCCGGCCTCGGCTTTTTATCACGGTTAACTGACTTTTTCGCTTTTGAAGCTTCTCAAACACAAAGACATTATCTTGGACCTTTTGTCAGTCCTCATCGACAAGACGAAAAGTGAACGAGGCTTCAGCGGAGCTGGTCGCCTCATTCTACGCCTCCTTCATACTCTTTCTGGAGTATACCCCGTCAATAGTCGTTTAGTAAATACTGATGAATGGGAATCGGAAGGTAACCTTACGCATTTGTCTTGGATGACGAGCGCCTCACCGTTTCTTTAGAATTTAACAAGAACCATAACCTTTATTGGGGCCGATTCTATGAAGCTAAGGAGGTCAAGATTGAATGGCATGGTTTGTAATGTTAACAACTTGTTTTCCTGACAATTTCACGAGCATCTCTTTTTCAGTTCCGAGCAATGAGGAAGTTGCATTTGTGCTTCAAATTCTTGAGCAGATTGTTGAGCCCCTGCTTACTCGCATTGAGGACCTGCTTGCGGATACCAACAATTGGGACACCGCCGCACGAAATGATTTCTGCAGGTATAAGTATTCTTCATGTCGCAGGTCGTGTGCCCTCGCTGATATTTGTTCCCTAAGGTATCTGTATGCAGTACGGTCAGTCTGGGCCGGTCTCCCTACGTTCATTGAGGAGCCGTTACGCTCAGGAGAGCCGCTCCTACAAGAGGAAGATGGTAATACAGACAACTTGCGGGCGTTTGGACTGCCAGTAAGGGCAGGATTTGTGCTATCAAATCCTGAGGACCCGAAATATCAGACCGCTACGAAGCAACGAGCTCGTTTTGGACGTGTGATACATCAGGCTGCAATCGCGCTCCGTGGAAGTCACGGCGGAGAAGACCATATCGACGCTGTCATCAGTGTTCTGAGGGTAAGTTAATAGTCACTGCTGCTGGTTTGGGTGTTTAACTCCAACCAAGGCCCTCGATACATATCTGCTTGAATACGGAACAAGCAAGGCCAACTATACTGCTCTGCAGAAAAACTATGTTTTGGCACGCGAGTGAGTTTTCTAATCGGTCTAGTCATAGAATAATGTGAACATCTGAACCGTACACAGCGTGAACCGAATGTGGCCTCGTCAGAAAGAAAATACACGTCTTGTTTTCCTCAAGAGGGCCCAGGTTTACCATAATGCACGGTTGGTAACTCACTCAATCAACCGCTGTCGAACAGAATTCGACACGCTCTTGTTCGATGATTTAATCGAGTGTTCGCTTTCGCCTTATACTCGAGTAAGAAGGTACGATAAAGGTATATGCGGAACAAGAACTTAAACGGTTAACTATCTATCTTTTTCCCAGGCACGGACAAAGTGTTCTATTCTCCGCAACAGACGTACGTATAGCACAGATACGCTATTGGTCATGAAGGCTGACGAATTGGTCTTAATTATGCAGACCTACCCACTAAGTGTGCAATTTGTGCTGCCAAGGATGATAGCAGCATTAGCCCGAGGGACAGACCCAGATACCATGAAGGGAGCGTTGTATGTCCTATTGCATAAGAATTTCCGTGCGCCTCTTTCCAGTCGTATTTATTTGTGCCGCATATCATTTATTCCATTCACAATTTTAGGTCCTGTGATTCGACAAAGTTCGTACAAAGTAAGACTCCTAATGTGTTACGTCTGACCTTCAATCACTTAGACTACACTATTCTAAGCAACCTGGTGATTGCCCTTCTCGAATGCCAACATCAGGAAAAGGTTGGCATTCAGGAACTTCTTCCCATACTTTTTCATTAATCGATCATTTTAGCCGTCCGTCCAGAAGCTCGTTTCGTCACTACATAACGATATTGTACTCCATTGCACTGTCGAAAATGGTTTACGGAATATGGCCGCCTTTTTGGAAGGCTCCTGCTTCGCCCTCGCTCTCGGAGCTCTCCAGATTGTCTTTCCTAACAGGCAACCTGATGAACGAGTCTTACAAGCGGCAGTTTCTACTGCAGCCAGGAAAAAGGAGCAACTAGAAAAGGAATTTGAGAAGCTGGTAGGCATTCGGTTCAGGTTTTCACAATCGACATTAACATGTGGGTAGATCAAGGATGTAATTGATATCTCCAGACGTCCAACAACGCATGTAGGAAATAACGATCTTTTATTATGTAAAACTGTGCTAATGGAAACACTAGTGGAGATATCTTCAGATGGCCCTACAGTCACTCCCGCAGCGGAGAGATAGACCGCCTATACCAGACGCGGCTGAGACCCTTATAAAAGCAACAACCGAATCTCACCCACTCACCCGACTAATTGCACAAAAGTATATTACGTACCCTCCGATATATTTAAGCGTTTGTAATTGACTATAACACAGGGGACTCGTTAAGCTTCTCGCCCTGATCAAAATTCGTTCATATGCTAATAGCGACGAGGAGCTGTGGTTTGAGGAATGGAGAAATCCTTTACAGAGAGACATTGCTGTTCAAGATGAAAAGGCAATAGTTCAGCTCCTTCAACAACCTTTTTCAAATTCGAAGGGCAGCTCTTCGTGAGTCCGTCGTGTTTAAACTGACGTTGCTGTGTCATCCTTATAACAAACGATTATATAGTGAATTGTGTATAGATAAAATCACTTCCGGTTTTCTGATCTGGGAGCCAGTGATCAAGGCATATTCAATGCCGGGTTCTTCGTCCGATGTCTTACTTATGTGGGAAAGCCAGTCACAGGCCGCGTTAGACAAAATTGCGCCTATTATCCTGGAACCTGTTTACTTTTCTCGTTTGCTTTTGTTGTGGGCTCAGGAGGCGGATGCGAAGGGCGCGATGAATACTGATATCGATCTCCGGTACGTGAACGGTGATAAAACAGTCATCACGTGCAAACCTCTTTTGCCTCTATAGTTCGGACAATGTCCAATTCATGAAATCAATCGGTAAGCTGCAGCATTTGTATCATGGAATTCATTCTAATCCTCTCTAGCGAAAACATTTGGGCACAAGTGTCTCGACAAGATCTTGCCAGTAATTGAAGCATTGTTATTTGATTCAAATCGATTCAGCCAGCGAGCTGCAGCAGAAGCCCTTAGCGGCGTATGTCACATCTATAATTGTACACTCTTGGAACTAATATCTTCGCTGCAGCTGATTCGAGGCTCCAAGAACTGGCCTGAATCAAATCGTAGGGCACTTTGGGATTGGTTTATGGATCGCGTGGCAAACGTATTCGGCCAAATCAAACCCGACACATCTGCCCTTTGGGAAGCCTTCTTCCAAGTGCGTAATTGGTGTTCCTTACCCACAATAGTAGTGGACTAATTATCTAAACAGCATATTCTGATAGGCATGGACCCTCAACGGAACAAGCCCCTAGTTGATTGGATTTTGTCATTGCCACTCGAATTTCATAGTGACTCAGCATTCACTAGTGAGAACTCGAGCATATTTATATTTTGTACGGAACTAAGCACTGCCTAACAGTGAGTAAGTCTTTGGACCTCTTTTCAGCCCTAGCGAACGAGATGGGCGTCCGGTTCGGCGGTATATCCGACCACTACATCAATCTGCTCTTCGACAACGCGGACACAAATTATGCTGAGGTAAATGAACTTCGTAACCCGTTTCTGCCTTGTACATGCTGGATCTTTACGTGTTCATGTAGATTCGCATGGGGATCGCGCAAAATATGTATCTCCTAATGACATGCGAATGGTACCTATCATATCCATCTATCGATGCGTTTCTGCTGGCCTGCAGAGAAGAGCAGGACCCTCTGCGGATCCGGTGCGTTAATCTTACAAACTCGTGTGATGTTGCCATAGTTTATGTTTGTGTGAATACAGACATGCGAAGTACGTCGGACGGATTCACGACCTCATTGAAAAGCTTTCGGTATGGAAAACGGAGCGCCTTCCTCCTCCAAGAGTCACCCAATCACAGGTACGTGCCTTGGCAATAATGGATGATCATCCAAGATGTAACCGGCGAGTTTAATTCCCAGTTTGACAAAGTCAGTTTAACTGGTACGGGGATATTATCTCCTGTATCCTTTGCACACCTGATGACCAATTTCCTCAGCTTTGTCGTGGATATGGACCATCGGGCACAGCTCTGAAGCATGTACAATGTTCCCATATGTCATGCCTATGCTGTGGGTCATTCAAAGGTTTCCCACAACAGTCGCTCATGCCTTCCCATTTCCAGGCCTGAAGTATTGAAGATGACCGAACTCAATGATAACCGCGAGTTAACGATGTACAGCTCTGGTGTCTTATTCATTCTGTCGGCGGTCACTCCGCCGCGAGAGTACGCTGAGATGGTCGCTCAACAATTTATCACCACACTCAGGCAGTCATCCGTGCGTAGACGTCCAGCAGCCCTTTTTCTTTGTTTGACAATGGCATTTGTCCTTCATTACGCACAGTCATATAAGATCAAACTCACTGGCTTGCCGCTTTTGGCTCTTTTCTATTACCGCAATTTGATGAGCGTGTCCGAAGCATGTACAACGAAGATCATGGACGTCATCATTACGTGTCTTGCCGACGAAAACATCGAGGTGCGAGAGGTTGCGAAAAAGTTACTATCAGGACTCCTGCGGTGCACACAACGGAGGCAAATACTACCGCTGAGGGTGCGTTGAGTAGCTGTCTTGCGACAGGCTACGGTGCTAAATGGATTGATGTGCATTCAGAACCGATTCGTCGCTGTCGTGCGGGGTACCAAGTTGCCAAAGCGGCAAGATCCTGGATACGGCGATGCCCTGCGCACTCTTCATTCGGCAATTCTCGGCCTATGTGCCCTCATAGAGAGCTTCCCCTACAGCATTGAACCCTGGATGCCACCCCTGACAGAAGGTGAGGAAGTCTGGTGTTGCCGACGTTTGGGAACGAGCACTGACATTGTCTCTGACTTCAAAGTACTGGCACCGCATGCGTCCGACCCTCCGCCGATATCGACAGCGATCCGAAAAACTGCCTCCGAATTCAAGAAGGTAAGTCGTCAAGCCCTATGGTTGAGCCTTAGGATACTGATTGGTTCTCAATACTGGTACCTTCTGCAGACGCATCAGGTATGTGTTGAACTGTTCTTTGCTTCGATTCCTTTTTGGCTCCGTACAGCCCGATCTATCCCCGTGGTTGTCCGAGCCTGTCCAAACAACCTTCTAGTTCTCGTTGTAGTTCCCCGAACCGGTCGGAATAGCAATGAGAATGTGCCTTTGACCAAATCCTTCTCCCTTTTGTTTCAGGATACATGGCACGTAGACCAGCATGCGTTTAACGAAGACCAGTTACAAGATTTATCGAGCATGCTGGTTGGAACTTCATATTGTACGTATCGATTTCTTCTTTTAACCACTTGAGCATGACACCGGTTTCTCGCAGACGCATAACCTATCCAGAGGCTAGGTGTATTAGGGCCAGAGTAGGTCCGCCAGCAAGAAATGGAGTGGTGATATACAATACTTGTAGAGTAAGGGAGAAATAATTAGATCAAGAGGTACACGACAGTGATACTCGAGGATGTGTATCATTGATTAACAGACGGTCAGTGGAGATCGATTAGCAAGAGTTTGATTGGGAGTGGTTGCCGACTAGTGAAAATCAGTCCTCGTCAATGTAGTAAAGTAGTTGTGCTTCACCAATATGACAGTCCTCGTCAGCATATTAGTAACCAGAGCTGGCTTCTGAATGGCCGATTCTGACATCAACGTAAAGAGGGTGCATGTATGAAAGGAAGCGTGCGTATGCAGTAGCGGCACATCGTGCCGTGAAGTGACCGGGAACACAATTGTTCTCTGGGCCTGTCAAGAGTGATGCGACAAGCAATATGTCGTACTACGAAGTAGCTGAGTGCGAGCTTGGTGACGACAATAAACTTCGTGCGCAAACAAACAGCCTGAAGCACTTTCCTGTTCAAGGAACGGAAGCATTTTCTCTTGCTATATCGGGAATGCTTCCCACGATAGTATCATCTTTGCCGTGGCCGTGACATTATTCGCTCGTCTGCCTACGGTATCGCTTGTCCTCCTTGCCGCCAAACGTTGAGACCGTATACGCATTAGCGTCGTGTCTGTGACGAACCACTCTGCGAGCAGAGGGGGCCAGTCGACCTTTGGGAATATTTATTTGTGAGGAGTGACGAGTTAGTAACGTTTGCCTCGTGTTCAAGGTGCGTTTTCATCAACTTCACTGCCCCTACGACATCCCTCAGCCGTCTTCTCTTTCTTCCCTCTCTCTCCTCTTCACCTCTCCATGTCTTTCCTCCCATTTTCTCTCTGACTGTCCCCACCCGTCACTGAAGCCTGCCCTCAACCTTTCTCTAGTACGATTTACGAACGCATATCCCCAATCCTAGACTCTGCATCCATCGTCTGCCGCCCTTGCCCCGCAGTTTTTATCTCGTTTCAAACCTAGATCACTCAGTGGCGCTGCGCTCTGCATCGCCTCTCTAGTGTAGCTGTTCGCAGGCGCTCTTGGGCTTGTTGCACCGGAGCCATCCTCTCCAGCGTCGTTCAGCGTCACGCCGATCGTCCGTTAACCAACTTATTCTTGTTTTAACAACGATATCAGTTATCCTGCATCTTTCTTCTGTTTAAACTCAAAACCGACCGGAATCTAATTTTTATCCACTAGTGAGTGATGGCAGATATTACCGTCTCGTGTTTTTTTTTGGGATCTCACCCTCGTTGTCATCATCGTGGCCAGTTTTCAGTGCACACGTCTGACATGAGCTCGTCTCCTGCGGTGTCTGCCTTCTATCCCCAGTCTGACCAGCGATCGGGCAAGCCGCTCACGCATCAGTCAAAATCTTATGACTGGACTCAACCTCACGATTTGAGAGATAGTCACGATGGTCTTGACGTACGCAATTCCTCCTGAGTTCTAGCTTCTCGTCTCGTTGATGCGTTGCTTATTTGTCAGCGTTCAACTCCGCAAGACCGTTCATCCCCAAAGGAATCTCAGTCTTCTCGTCGTACAGGTTCTGGAGTCCAGAGGATGTCGTTTTCTCCGTCCCCACTTATCGTATCAAGTCAGCCAAACTCGGAGTATATGAAGTCAAACCCTAAATCTGCCGCTCCTCTCGAACCATTTGTGCGTGACAGCTCGGTGGACGATTTCGCTAGCGGTTTGCGTCGTGCCGGAAATCGATGGAGCTTCAATGGATCTGAAAAGATCGTTGAGCCTAGCCTTGCGAGCTGGGACCTTGTGGATGAGATCGGAAAGCTGGGCATCGCAAATGATGCAGGCGACGTCACAGATGGTACTACAACGCCTCCAAAGAACAACATGCGGGACGTTCTCCATATTCACGAGTCGAGTCCATTGGACACGTCTTCATCCGATACTTCCTTGGATTCCACTTCACCTCAAAATGCCGAAGGTGCAAATCTACCGTCTCACTCTCGCGAGTCTTCGACCGACACACTCAATTCGGAGAGCTCTGTGCGAAGCAATGCTCACCTGAGTTCCCTGAAGAGCGTGCCCTTCTCTTCTGATCTCACGAAAGACAGGCCCAGATCATTTAGCGGTGCAATTTCGGACGTTGAGCTGCGCCGTTTGCAAAATATTCCAACTCCCTCTCAGCTTCCGGAGTCTCTGCAAGATAGAAGCTCGCCCTTAATCAGGGAAGTCACCGGTGGAGACAACAAACCACTATCTTCGGTTCCTAGCGGCGAAAATATCGGCGGACAGGCACAGCCCATGTACCCTTCCTTGGCTGCGTATCCCAGCGCTCAGCAACAACAGAATACTCCAGTGCGTCTTCAGGCTAAGAGCCCTTTAAATCATCAGCTAACCGCTCTACTCTAGTTTGTTGGTTTGCCCCTGCAGAATGTGCCGGGCCGCCAAGAAGAATTGCAGGTTGATCCTATGATCCAGCCCCGTCAACAGTTTGTCAATAGCGGTCAAAACCTCACTGGACCTTTCATTCCTGTTCAAGCGAACGGGCCTGTGCGCGCTGGCCACTCGGACATCATGCCTTATCGTCAACAAGTTCGCGGAATGAACATGTTTCAACCACCGATGCAGATGCAAGCACAAGCTCCTCCGGCGCTACTTTCAAGTCCTACGAACTTTGCTTACCAAGGCGTACCAAATCCTCCCGGGCACCACAATGCTCTTTCGTTGGGTACTTCACAACAGATGTATAACATGATGCTTCCGATGGACCCTGCTGTTAACCGTACACAGCAAGTATTTCGGGCAGGACATCAGCATTCCGCATCTGATCCAGCGAGCCTTCGTGATGCGGCCCAGTTACTTCTCAATGCAGGTGTGCATGGTATGCAGGGTATGCAGTTCCCGCCCACCCCCGCCTTAACCCCGGGTTTGTATCCACCTATGGCTATGACACCGCCTGTTTATGCAAACCAGTTTTTCCCTGGTGCGAACCCTCAGCCTCAAGAAGTGTACAGCCAGCAAGATATGATGAGTGTTATGGGTAGATCACTGCCACACTTCACTGGAACAAATGGTGCCCCGACCACCCCTCAAGCGGCGCAGACGAACTTCGCAGCGTCGCCGAGCCCACCAAATTCGACTGGGCCGAGTGCCAACAACAGAAAGCTAGGATTGTACAAGACCGAGCTTTGTAGGAGCTGGGAAGAAAAAGGAACTTGTAGATATGGTCCAAAATGCCAATTTGCGCATGGCGAGGAAGAGATACGCAAAGTTGCTAGGCATCCTAAGGTGATTAACATGCCCTTGTGATTAGTGTGTTTAGGATGCTGACTTTATCTTTCATTCAGTACAAAACGGAAATCTGCAGAGTGAGTAGATGAATTGTGTTCTGTTTAATGGGTCTTGACAGGACACTGACCATCGTCTCTTACGTTTACGTTCACAGACCTTTTGGGTCTCTGGATCATGCCCGTACGGGAAACGTTGTTGTTTCATTCACACAGAACTCCCGACATCAGGCACCCCTCCTGGTGCAACTGGCGCTACTGATGGCAATGCTCCCCCACCCCCGCCGCAAGATGGACGCACGCGTTCAATGAGCACGAATAGTGATCCGAACGAGGGCCAGACATCGCTTCTTGCTCGAATCAAAGGAAAGAATAAGTCTGACGATAGTACGGGCTCTGCTACTCCTACTGCTACATCGGCGATACAGAGTCCAGCTGGTTATCAGTTCGCGCACAAACCACCGAGTGGCGCGCTCCGAGTAGATACGAATGTCGAAGCTCCTATGGCGACGAAGCAAAACAAATCGGCGTATCCGACTTTCGCGAACACATCCATCCAGGCTCTTTCTCCTGGACCGGTCACTGCTGGTCCTGACTTCGGTCGGCACCTCGGGTCTGGCAATGTGAACCTGAGTGAAATAAATCAAGTTCGTCGATCAAAATACGCTTATGCTTTTAACATTAGAGTTCTGACAATCTGTTCTAGCGCATAAATGGAAATGCGTCGACTCCTAATGCTCGTCACTCGTATACAAGCTCGGAGGCCAGCATTGCGTACGGACAGCAACCCCAACAGCAGCAGTCGCGCAATGTTTCTGGCGGATCGTCGCCTTTTGGGATCCTTTCTACGCAGACAGACAGTCCCGCGACGACTAATGCGCCTGGAGGACATGGCCTTGGTCATGGTCATTCGCGCTCTGGAAGTGCGAGTAACTGGGGCAGCTTTTCACAGAAGAGTCACCTTGCTGCAAGCGCAAGCCCGTACACGCACACTCCGTCGCCCGGAAACGACGGTATGTCAACGAACACCGCAGCTGCAGCTTCACCCTGGGGCCCGAGCGACCTCAATGCTAACACAAGGCAGTGGTCCTGAACTCTTGACGATGTCGTAAATGATGTGTTATGTTTAATTCTTAACATGGGGCCTACCCACGGTCATACGGCTCCCGTCGCAGAGCAGTATTGGCCGTACACCTGACGAAACCGAATGATTGTTACGGACTTCACACTAAACTTAAACAGTACTTTTCTTGATTTCTATCTACGATCTGTCATCATCCAACAGCTCTTCTATGTGCTGAAGTGCCGTAGATCAGGTTGTTGGGTTCAATGTCTTGCTAACTTTAGTCCTGAATTATTCTTCTCAATAGTTCTTCGGATGGTTTTACCCTCGTTTTCTCTCACATTCACGCGAACCGCTTTTGCATTGCACAACGCTTTCTTGCTGCACTTTTATCCTGTTTCATTGCCCACTGCCACTCTGCGTATCGTCTCTTATGTGTTATAAATAACGTGAATTTCAAAAGGCTTTCTGGATAACGAGTGATACGCTAGACGTTATTGATTGCATATAAAGCAATATTATACATCAACATCGCCTTTCGACGCGTTGTGTGTGGAGTTGCGGCGCACACGTCGCCGACTTGGCTGTCTTCCGCCCCGACATCCGGCACCCGGAAGATCCGAGCAGAGCGAAGGTCCGGACACTAGAAGACGCCGTTACTTGTCTGTTCTTGCGTAAAAACAGCGTGCTTGGAGTCGCGATCTTCTCCCGTTAATTTTTTGTCTTGGGCACAATGATAGTAGTTACTACAGGCAGCACCACCAGGTCATATATAGCACAGGATTTTCCATTGGTTTACGCCGTATCTGTCGGAGAACACGTTCAGTGGGAATTGAAGGGCTGAGGAGCTCGGCATAACTAATATAGTGGACCAAATGACTAGTTGGCAAGGCTTTGAAGCGCCACGAGCCAAGGTATCATTCCTTCAAATAGACGCTTGGTCGAACAAAGGCTATGACCAAGGTGTGTATGGCGCTATATGCTTGATTTTTCATATGTGCGAGGAAATGTCATAGTCCAGTTTCCCGGATCCGATACCCGCAAGTACGGGCTCTTAACGAATCAGCGCTCATATATGCACTGAGGAAAGGAGATAGTAGCCTCACCGCGTGTTCTGCAGTGCAACAGATGCCATTGCCTTGTCTGAAGTGACTTTATCCGAGTCGGCGCAGGAATAACACAGCCAATCTGGTTACCATGTTTTCTTGCACCTCTCTGGAAGCGGAATAAGCGGTGTGACATAGATCCATCAATGAGACATTCCAGCATACCACCAGCATTTGATCCAGACAAAGACAGTCTGGCAGGTTGCGCATCCTCAGCTTGCGGAAGCACTTCGCCGTCAGTCATTGTATACAAGTATCGCACGTCCCGTTGAGCATTGAATAGCGAGCCGATCAGAGCTGTCCACGGAAGAAGCCTCCCAGTTCACATGCACATTCTCGCCGCAGGCCCAAGTGAAATTCGGGTATACATTGCGCTTATATCCGGGAGATCCATGTATGTCGACATTGAAAAACGGGTCCAGTGTGTGGAGATAACCATTACTAACACCCGCATTGAGAATGTGTGCATGTCCGCTCATCTCGGTTCTCGTGAAAGCTGCTGCTTCTCGCGCGCGAATCTTATGTATATGAAAGGCCGGAAGAGAAGACGTTCAATGTGGTAGTAGAGCATTGAGTCAGGAAGTAAGCGTGTTTAGTACGTCGGCGGACGATGGGCGGGTGCAGATCGAATTAACTCAAGCTCGTAAGCCTTGAGGATGATGGGGAATCCGTCAGGGTTAGTCCGATGCCGACATGGTATGATCATGTCTGCGACGCAGTCGCAGTCGAGAAGAATGTAAGAAAGAACTAGGAGGTTTGATGTATGTAAATAATGAGTAATTGTGGCCGTTTATTGAACTAGATCATACATTATGTAATCACCCACGTCATTTTGGAAAACACATGCTGTCTCAGTCGTCACTCCCTCACTCTCACTGCTCAGTCTTTTGCTCCCAATATACATCATCTCCCTCAATCTCCAAGCTCGTCGTATAGTCACACTCTACTAATTCTGGCTTACGTGACGATTTACGTCCTTAATCGCGTCGAATTGTTGTCAGCAAGCAGCCTTCAACTTGCTTATCGATTGATTAATCTCGTCTCAAGCATATTGTCACCGATCGGTCTATTGCACGCCATCCACTTCTTTTTTTTTTTGAAACTATGGCACCGCCAACCATTGGTCCCGAGCTTTCCTCTTCGCCGTCTCCGATGGGTACGCCTACAGCGAATCTTAGTTCTGCTTCTCTCAGGAGAAAATCGATCTCATCACTGCGAGGGAAAAGTACGGATTCTGTGAAGAGTAACTATTCAACGGTATCCAGGACTTCAAGCAGCGCGTCCATACCTTTCTCCTCAGATGATGAGGTCGAACCTGTTCAGGAAGATGGTGTTGTACATACAATGGGGAGATTACACGCGAAGTGAGTAGTCTCGTGCCTCTGACCAGGCATCGTCAATTGAGTGGACGTCAGCAGGTGGCATGATTTCATAGTAGCTTCATCTTACTGATACCGGCATCTTGTTCTTAGACGTTACAAAACGCTAGAGTTTGCTAGTGATCTACTTAAAATTTTGGTGTCGTTAAGAATTCCGACATGGGCTTCTGCAGGATCACTGTCACCAGAAGGTGTCAAGGTCTTCAAGGTCTCTGGATCCCTTACGAATGCTGTATTCTTCATCTCATACCCGAACAGCCCGTCACTGAAGACTCTCCTCCTCCGCATCTACGGACCTTCATCTTCCGAGCTCATCTCTAGGCCACGCGAGCTACACACGTTGCATGTCCTCTCATCGAGATACCGGATAGGACCTCGGGTCTATGGTACCTTCGAGAACGGTCGGGTGGAGGAATATTTTGATTCCACTGCTCTTACTGCTTCAGAGATCCGTGACCCAGTCATAAGTGGTTGGATTGGATCTCGAATGGCAGAGCTCCATTGTGTAGATATTGAGGCTATCGAAGAAACAACGCCAGAGACGCGAGGCGAGAATGTCGGTTGGGATACTGCTGCGCGGAAGAACTTTCGCGAATGGACCCTGCCCGCCCGAGAAGTTCTTCGGTTGAAGTCTGTCAGCGAAGATTACAAGATTACTCTAGATTTTGACAGATTTGTAGACGAATGGGGACGTTATATGTTATGGTTGGATAAATGGGAGAGAGCACATGGTGCTAGTAAACGTGTTTTCGCACATAACGACACGCAGTACGGCAATCTATTGAGGCGGAAAGAAATAAAGGAAGGGACCCCTGAGCACCGACAGGTAAGGTCTCTTATTCAATTTCCCGAATGATTTCCTTGTTTATCCTGACTGCCTCCATTGATGCTATACTCTTAGATCATTGTGGTGGACTTCGAATATGCCGCTCCAAATTCGGCTGCCTTCGATATAGCTAATCATTTTCACGAATGGACGGCAGACTATCACAACTCAACGCCACATATTCTCGATCCTAAACGCTATCCGATCGAGCAGGAAAGAAAGAACTTCTACAAGGCGTACCTCACACACGCCTGTCCCCCTTTCACCACCACTTCCGTGGCGACCGATGTCAACACTCCTTCTGCGAAACTCGTAACCGTTGGATCGGGAGGTGATATCCCCTTGGACCTGACAACGGAATCTCAAAAACTGGAAGCTCAGGTCAGGGTGTGGAGTCCTGCATCTCATGCCATGTGGGCAGTATGGGGACTCGTTCAGGCCCGCGAAGATTTGGAATTGGCTGCACAGGCACAGGCAAAGGGAGCCCAGCCGGACCGACCAGAGTTTGATTATCTAGGCTATTCTCTTTGTCGTGTAGAAAGGTTTAGAGCGGAACTAAAGGCGCTCGGATTGTGAGCAATCACGGCGCCAGGAAATAGGGATGGATTTGGGTTACTATACAATCAGGGATCTTTCGTATATTCGTATGTATATTTAATCATCCCTCAGTCGTTCCCATAATTTTCCTCATGCGTCCGCTCTTCTGCCGATTGTAACCTAGGTGTACGAAATACCGATCTGCTGGTGTGAATTCAGTTCCAGAGCTTAGCTGCGGTAATTCCGGCGGATTGACGCATCCATTCCAAATGATAGAACCGTTTCATGCCGTACACAGACGATCTTGATTGTGCATCTGAGGAGACCTCGAGTCGCTCTCACAATTTTGCGTACCCCTTGCTTCTTAATTGAATCGTTTCTTCCTCATCCGTTCAGTGGAGATCTAAAGAGACGTGCTCATAGGCTTCCTCATGGCGTCCGCCACCAAGACTTCCCTTCCCGGTAATGGAAGCCATTCTTTAAAACGAGTTTAACAAAGTCATAACGGGATTACATTGCTTCAAGCAGGAATGCTATCAAACTATTCGATACATCTGAATAAAAACTACTTAGAAGGACGAACATTAAAAAATCAACAAAAATTATCTGAGGGAGAATATTATGACTAAATATTATGATCAAACACATAACCTAACTTTGCCTCGGATCATTTCAAAGGGACGAAATTGCGAAGTAATTAAGAAGAGGGAATGAGCCAAATGCATGGTGAATTAGTAACGTAAGGTGTCGTGCGATATTCACACTTGCGATTGCTTCTCATCGTCTTGTCGTTGGACAGATACTCGTCCCTGATCAGTCGAATCTGTCGACACTGTTTTGATCAGCGGCGAAATCTGGCCGGGATACGTCAAATCAAATTCCGAAATCGAGATAGTATGGGAGAGTGGCTTACGACCAACGCTAGCGCGAGGCAGGGCGTGCAGACAATCCAGATCAACTGCAATCGTCATTGATAAGATCAAATTGATCGATATGAATAGAATAGACAAGCAATTTGAAGTGCCCACCTGAATCGCCGATGACACGACCCCGAGTACTTCTGCCCTTATGCGAAGAGGCTCCAATCTAGCTAGAGCACGTAGGTCAATAGACGTCGCCGAACCCAATAGTTCGGCATAGTCTGAATGGGACAGGCGACCATTGAATACAGCTCCTGCGACAGCCTGCGGGAGAGTAAAGCTCAAAAAGGGCACGAGTTAGAACACAAAGCTAACTTGCCAGTCCGCATGTTGCTCCGGTGAATCGCACCAGGAAAAATGCGCTCGTGGCACTAGCGATGTCGTCAGGCCGCAGAGCCCTCGTGAGCACTTGGTATGGTGTATGGAACAACATTCCGATTCCGATACCCGCGACTAGCGGAGCAATCTCTTGAAGTACAACTGAGGTGTGATTGCTCAAAGAAATCATGAGACCTTATCATGTCCCGCCGCATACAGTCAATAAAACACACATGTTATAATCGGTATCCTGGACGTACCGAATCCAGTAGTTGCTACGGCTAAGCCAACCATGATAACAATCTTCTGAGCACTTGTTGACTTGGTCTTGCGTTGGCGGTAAGAAACAAAACAGGCAACAGGCATGGATGCCAGAGATGCTCCTAGTGAATATGGCAACATACGCATGCCAGCCGCCAGCGGCGATGAGCCGTTCACAGCCTAACAGAAGAGAAGCGCATCAGCTGACACAGGAAATAATTAGATCCGGCGGTGTGAAGACCTGATAATACAGTGCCAGGAAAAAGGTTCCAGCATTGAATGCGAGTTGGTGCAAGAAGCTGATGATGAGGATAGTACCTAGATCGTTCATTTAGCACTGAAGGCGACATATCGAAGTATTACCTACCGACGGTAACGTTATTAAACATTTGTGAAGGAAAAAGAGCATCCCGTGTTGTATGCCTTTCGTAAACAGAACCAATTATCAAGATGACGCAACCCATAATCAGGGGTACCAGAGTCGCCGGGGACGACCCTGCAAATAGAATTAGAGTTGGTCATGCGAAGCGAAAGAAACGACGGTGTACACGCACACCCATATTGCGAAGAGAAACTGAAGCCGAGCACAAGCCCGATAGTACCGCACATGAAGAAGAATCTAAGCCAGAAAAATATCAATGCCGAGAACATGGGGCGCAATTGAGTCAAATGACTTACAGGCCTAGGATATCGAATCTGCTGCATAATTTCGACCAAGTCATGCCTGTCGCCGGATGCAGCGGAACATTTTTCAGAGAAAAGTGGAGAAGTGTCCAAGCTACGGAAGCGATAGGGAGACTAATTAAGACTAAACCAAGAAGCAACGTCAAAGTCGAGATAAGCTCGTAAAGCAATTAATCGTACATGCCCAGCGCCAGCTGAGCGCGCCGTTAGAGTCTGTGACAAAATATTTTAGTGTTTGTCATGCAGCAGATACGCAAACCTACCACTGAATGCGCCACCAAGCAACGGACCTGAGAAAGGAAGGACATGGTGAGCCGGTGGAGCTGGAGCGAGTAGGCATAATCACTTGCCAGCCAATGCAGATGCGCTCCAGGTTACGCTCAAAGCTTGAGACCACTGTGCTCTTCGGTCCTCTGCCACAAGTTCCGCAGTAATGAGCCAGACCGCGCTCACTATGCCACCCCCACCAATGCCCGCCACGGCCCGAAATACACACAGTAAGACGTAATTCTTGACCGACAATTTAATTCAGGTGAATTAATTAGATGGCGTAAACTGCTCACAGGCGCGAGGCCGCATAACAAAGAGCCGATCATGAAGATGAATATGCTGGTATATAAGACTGTCTGGAAATGATTCGTTAATCTAAGATATAACAGGTGGCCCACGAGGTGTCCTACCTTTCTCCCTAAAAGGTCGGAGAATTGTCCGTATAGGGGCTGTAGCGCAGTCTGCGAAATCGCATAAGCGACGCCAACCCATGGATATTGGCTCTGAGACGCGTGAAGATCTGCGATAATAGTTGGTAGACTAGTTGACACGATAGTCTATATAGAAAGTTAGTGACGAGCAGTTCTCCTTGACTACTACGTACAGCGTCGGTAGTTGCTAGAAACAACGCCAGGGCAGCCCTAAGATATGGACCACTGCTTAGCAGCAAAAGAGGAGTGTCCCGCAAGAAACGTACCCGATATGTGCAGTCAAAAGGCGGATGAACGATATACCGTCCACAGATTGTTTGTTTCCCGAATGTACTACATCAATTACGGAAGCCGTTCGAGAAGAGCAAAGACTTGGGACTGCTGAGTTCGGAGCGGCAGCGACATCCGGGAACTTTTCAGCAGTCGTAGCAGCACGATCCGCAATAGTCTCAGCAAGAGAGGGCGACGGGGTCAAGCTTTCAGATCGTTGTATGCGGCGGCTATGACCAGAGAGCGGAGAGACAGCCCGAGTAGTGCCACTGACAGACATTGAGAGACGGATCAGAAGCTCGGCTATAGCGGAGTGAGTAGAGAAGAGGCAATGAGATGTAGTTATGCATTGTGCGATTGCACAAGCGTACTTATATGCAACGGAAGAGCCTAGCGCTTGCAGGACAGGCAGAATTACTTTAACGAGAATAATTTAATCCGTCAGAGACATTAGCAAGGATCGGGTGTACCGGAGTGTGCGTTTCGATGCCGTGAGGGGCGATGATGATAGATCTTAGAGCGCAGATCATAGCGGAGAGATAAGTTTTAGCCAGAGCATCGGAGAATGCGAGTTTCAAGGAGACCGGGACGGGATCTGTGTTAAGTGGCGTCCCAGAGTGAGGCACCGTCGCCGGATGGACACTAGTGGACAAAGGACGGCGAATAAGGAGAGCGCGGCAGCGGGCTTGCCTTGTAGGGCCGAGGAGGACCTGCGGGAGACCAGCACCAGGGCAAGATCACAACATCAGCACCGGGGCAACAGGAAAAGGCTGAGCCAGAGCATGATTCCTGCAAAGGATAAAGATGCACACAGCACGTGGACGCATGCCGACGTCTTTTTCGGATGACACATCATCTCTCGTACACCAGCAGACACAAGGCGCCCGTCGACATCATCTTCTCGCATAACATGAGGCCCGTGCATTCAGCCTAGCTCAGGGCCTCAGATGCTGCGTTTCTGACTCGCACTATTCCCGCCCAGCGTGCCGTCAGTCACCATCGCTCACAAGTCGGCTTCCCTTCCCACCATGTCGACATTAAATTTAGTTCTGTAGACAAAATAAATCCATAACAGAACGTGAGCGCTCAATGGGCCTACGATGTGTAAAATTATTATTTTGCTCTATTCGAATCTCGTTCCTATTCGCGCCTCTTCGTCTCTACATGCAACTGGTACCGTTTCAACCGGTAGCAGTCCGTCGCTTTCGTTCCTTATCGCCATCTGCCTCTTTTTGCGCGTTCGATGCACCTGTCCACCGAGCAAATGCAGATGAGAAAATTGCCAGACAATGTAAAGGACGGACCGAAATAAAAATGAACGTGCAAAATCATAGCCCGAAAAATTTCTTGCCTCTTTGCCAAGCAGCAGAAATCCAGCCACTCTCCCGGTCGGGCAAGTGGGATGATGTATTATTGAACGCGTGCATACCGTTTGTGTCATTTGCTGAAGTGCCTTCCGAAGTAGCTTCTCCCGACGATTTCGTCGTGTGTCCTCTCGGCTCACGAGGACCGTCACCGGAAGACGAAGCCGGTCTTGAAGATCGGCCTTCGACGTCGTCAGCGTATGCCTGCAGTAATTCCCTCTGACGCTTTGTCAATGTCCTATTTGAATTGAAGATGCGAATGTCAGAATAACTCGTGGTCCAATAAATTCATTATACCTCGGGAGCTGAATGGCAAACGACACAAAGAGGTCCCCTTTATCACCACCGCCACTACCATACAGCCTTGGCATCCCGCGACCTTTCAATACCATTTCTTCACCTTGCTGCGTTCCCCCAGGAACCCTGACATCGACATCGCCCTCAAGGGTAGGTATTCTGACTCTTCCTCCGAGCAAAGCGGTATGCATTGGTATACGTGCTTCGTGATGAATATTTACTCCTTGCCGCCGGAACAATTTCGACGCTGCAACGTTTACGCGCACAAGAAGATCACCTTTCGGTCCTTTGCCAGATGCCGGCGCGTCCCCTTCATTCGGAACACGAATCATCATCCCATCCTCCACACCTACGAACAAAGGGTTAATACGTAATGACACGTTGTACTGTGAACCATACCGGGAGGGATGTTGACCGTTACCGCCTTACGGACTCTGACTCTACCCTGTCCACTGCACTCTCCACATTGACCACCTCGAGGTACCACCTCCCCAGATCCTTGGCACGAGCCACAAGTAGTTTCCATGTGGAAGCCTGCTTGAACGACAAAAGTTCGTGATCCTGATCCTCCGCAAGACGAACACGTCATTTTCTTTGTGCCCGGCTTCAAGCCACTGCCTGAACACGACCTGCATTCCACAATGGGCATGATGGTAATGGTTTGTTTCACGCCTTTGGCCGCATCCATGAAGCTGATCCCTATCCTTGCTTCCAAGTCATCTCCGCGAATGTTGACATTCGATGCCCGTCCACCCGCTCTCCCTCCAAACGAGGTGCCAAACAATTGCTCAAAGAGATCAGCACCAGCACCGCTCGGACCCGCACGGAATGCGCTTCCAAAGTCGCGGAAGCCGCTAAATCCAGCACCTCCAAACCCGGCATTCGAAAAAGCATTCGGATCAAAACCTGGCTGTTGTGACGCTGCTCCATATTGATCATAAGCTGTCCGTTTTCCTTCATCGCTGAGGGTCTGCCGCACAGTACATAAACGATCTAGATTTAAAGGTTGAATGACTTCAAATACGAAAAGGACGCACGTCATACGCGGCTTGGATCTCGACAAATTTTTCTTGAGCGTCTTTCTCCTTGTTCGTATCTGGATGATATTTCCTGGCAAGCTACTTGGCCAGTGATAAATTCACTAGATTAATGCAGCAGGAAAAGAAACGAGCGAACTGAATAGTAGGATTTTTTAATATCAGCTAAAGATGCATCTTTGGCTACGCCGAGCACTTGGTAAGGATCTTTATGAGCACGGGACGGAGATGACGCATGAAAGCCTCGTCTGAACTTCATTATCTACGAGTAAGCCAAACTAGCCTGCGGCATCATACATGCATACGATGCATGCTTACCCGTCTTGGCCACCGCGGAGCACTGTCTTTGCTTGCTGTTGCCCAAACTTGTTGTCGCCTTTCTCTCAAGGACCTTGCCGCACTGGTTGCCAACGTTCTAGACGTATGCATACATGTTGCAGCTGAGTCGACACCTAAAGTGAAACCAAAGAGTGCTCTTTGTCCCGACAAACGAGGCGGCATTGCAGAGGTTGTAGAGGCAAGCACTGAGAAGACAGGACTGCGACTCTATGACGGAAACACGTAGAATTTCTCAGTGAGTGGGTGCAAATTCTGTTGACTACGTAATCGTATGCGTTCACGTGATACGTGCCTTAGGTAATCTCACTTTGAGTGCTCAGTAAATACAATAATCTCTTCTCTGACACTACGAACTTGAATTTCGCCAATAATGTATCGAACATCTCAGTCAGTGGGACTTCCGGATTGCTACAGCTAAGTTTCCAAGGAATTCTCCATTCCTGCATTTCGTGTCATGATTCAGCTATCATTTCTGTTGGTGGCCATTCTCAGAAGATTAATACTAACTTACTTGAGAAGTCGCTGATCTCTGCGAACAGGGAGAAGCAATCCGACACTCTAGGCAAGTCTCTGTTTATTTGTGCATCCTAAGCATGCCCCAGGTTCATTGAGGTACGCAGACTCTGTCGCATTCTCGAACTGCTTTCGATGATAATCAATTTGTACGTGGCTAGACTGTTCTAAATAATTGAGGGACGGACTTGTTTTTGGGACTCAGAAAGAGTTACCTCGGAAACTCTAGGTAGTATATCTCAAAGTTTGTTACTAGCATTCTGGAGCTCTTGTGCTGCCAATCTCATACAGTTACCCGTACAGTTGTGCCTATCGGTGTTGCTGCACCAAGCTCAACCACTTGATCGAAGGACGAACACGATGCGAGCCTCAGGAACTGTTCCTTGTAAATCATGCTGTACGTCGAAGCTAAACAAGCCGTCTCTTCGGCGCTACCCAAAGGCACAGCCAGTCTTGAAAATAGCGCAAAGAAAGTCCTCGGAGCAGACGATGCTCAATATCTATCTCCTCTTGTCTTTGACAGGCGGCAGAATCGTTTAAACAATGCAAGGCCACAAAAATTGTTCACGGTAGCGCAGATCGTCTACTCAAAGGCAAAGGAGAACTCCTCCCACCAAAGCAGTGCACTTCATTACTTTAAAGCAGCCAGCCGACTTGGCTCCCAGCCTTAGATCTGCCTGGAACGGTATGTGTGGTGGTAGGAATTCTGTTCCTCAGGCACATTGGGGTCGAGTCGAACTTAGCGAGGTTGGGACATGAGCATACTATAACTGTCTAGCGTTTGGGTATCCCGGAGGGTGGCCCTTGTGCGGTCCGAACTAATGATTGGCGTGCTTCTCAGTGTGCATAATATGAAGGGGATTGACATTAATCCATGATAAGTCGGGTTTATGCTTCTTGCAAAATCGGTTTCTCCGTCATGGTCAGTCGATTTACATCCCTCGACATATGTAAATCATGTAAATTTACGAATCGTTTTCAGATACTTGAAATGGCAAAGGGGGGTCGGGAGGCAGTCCCCAGCTCATCCTGCGATAAACTCCGTGGAACACCAATTGAGGGCATCGAATATGATCATGCTTCTGGGAAAATTGACCAAGTTTACGCGCTGTTCTCTCGCAGCAGATTATCCCAGCACTTTAGTGCAATAGTGCAAGTTAGCTGAGAACAACTCGTACGCGCTAGCAAATATCAAATTCTTAAATTCTCTTGGGGTGCCGGCATGTTGAGACGTCAAGGGAGGAGATGTCTAGCACACCGACAATTCATTTCGGCGGCATAGTACGTTATCCAGAGATCACTAGTCTCCAGCTGTCGACGAATGAACGAAAAGTTGGCCGTATATGGCCGATATCACTTGGCTCAAATGGGGAAAGCAAGGTGCATGTAATTTCAAGATGTATATGTGCGGATAAATACCTGATCCTTCCGCGTCGCAGTCCGAGGCAGTATTTATAACAACACTAACAAGTCGACGGGAGGAGCAGAAGCCACACGATTGCCTTTCAAGATAGAATCGGACCGAAATGTGACATCGTGAAGTTGTGCTTGGAAGAGTGTAGCAGCACTGCAGTGGGAAACGCGTCTACTTGTTGTTCTTTGCTTCACGTCCAACGATGCACTTGATTAAACTGGCCTGATGACTTCGCTTGGGCGACCAAAAGAAACAAGCTTCGTTCATTCGTACACGTGAAAGGATCATGCTCCAATACCGAGATTCGAGCGGGCATGCATTCCGTTGCAAGCCTTCACCAGTCTCACACTTGGTCCGCTTCAGATCCGACTAATTAGAAGAAGGGACGAGTTCACTATTGAAAATAACTGGCTACCTCCACCATCTGCTCTCCAAGGTGCTTGATCCATTATGGTGCGCGATTGATGCATGTAGTTCAACCCCAAATAACTGTTCCAAGTATGCTGCTGACTACGGGACGACTTCCTTTTACAAAGCACTGTGCAAGCGCCCATCCTTCCCATTTATTTCAGGCGTTATCCCGTTTCCTACGCTCTTCCTAAGTCGGAATCCTTCTGAACGAACACTTACAGACCCCTGTGTCAGAGTGAAGACACCGATCAGTAAAAATTCCAATAGGCTTCATTGATACGTCTAGCGTGGTTTACATGGGCGGAATCGACATCTCTGCATAATCGCGATGAATAGCTCTTAGGCGAGTTCCTGTGCGCCTGGACTCTCTCCATTCTGAAACTCGTAATTTTGACTGGCAGGATGGGTTCAGAGCAGGCAATATGAACGGATGATTACTAGTGCGCATTAGTCGCATTGGGTGCCAATGTGCCTGCCTAAGCTGTCGGATAAAGTGTGCCACGAAGTATCATGGAAGATTCGCCAGAAGGACAGGAACATTATTATTTGCTCCAACCTCGCCCGCGAATCCACATAAAGCCTTAAACCTACTAGCGTCTACTGTTTCCGCCAAGATCTATCCGACAGGCCGACAACTTATCTGTTTGGTCGAACTACTTCCCTCATTTCGCTATTGAATTGATTGGCATTGGCATTTAACTTAAATAAGCATTCTATGCAACTGTAATGTGATCTTACCACGAGGCATCAGACTTTTGACCTGAGTTTCATACTTTATGGTCATACTTTATGGTAAATAGGCACCTCGTGTACGGCTATAGACGTTACCGGTCTCGTAGATAAATTTGGCGTCGTCTGCGTTTTGATTACAAAAATCTGCTCCCGAGAATCAAGTTAAAAGTGGTCCTTGAATGATTGCAAATCAAACCTTTGACAATCAATCGGAGAAGACGAACGAGCGAACCAATACAACTGTGTCTAAAGTAATGATTGCAATGGAACGCGAGCATTTGCAGTAGAAGGAAGCGTTTCTTCGCCAATCTATGCTCGTAAATTTGCATCGAACATCCATGGGCTTTGCATTCTAGCAACAAGTTTGAACATGCCTCATGCAAGTAACAACAGATACACGCCATCTCGTTGGCCCACCGATCTCGAGTATCTCCGTTCCACGAGTTACGCGCCAATGATTCCTCTCGACATACTGCAATACATCAAAGGCAATGGTCCTACTACGCTGTCGACGACCAAGCCCCACGTCATGATTCGGCGCATTGACAGCACCATGCATCCTGCACACGGACAAATGGGCCTATTTGCGAGTAAGAAGATCCCGCCTGGCACGCGCATTATCGATTACTTCGGCGAGGTACATACGAACGAGCGTCCAAGCTCCGACTATGATTTGTCTCTGTACCGTGTGCACGGTGACGGCGGAGTTATCGTCAATGTCGGGGTACGTCAAATCAGTACCTTTGTTAACCTAAGATAGCGCTCGCCAACGGAACTCAATATGCCAATCGAACAACCTTGCGCTGAAGATTGATGCTGCACGAATGGGCAACGAAGCTGTATATTTCATTACTTCTCAATTTCGGAAAAAAATGTATTCACAATCCGTCTAGCGTTTCATCAACGATTACCGTGGCATAAGGCCGAAACCAAATGCACTATTCAAAGAAAGAAGAACAGAACAGGGTGAACTCCGAATGAGTGTATACAGCGCGGACAACGAAGCGATTAAAAAAGGAGACGAGATTTTGGTTTCATATGGTAAAGCATGGTGGAAGGCCAGGCAGTTCGACAAGCGGGAACGGTTGTAGGCTTTGTCTTGACGTCAATTAACTACTTGTTGGAAAGCGATTTGCAAATACAGTACAATATATTCATCTTCTAACACTGAGCGCATTCTTTTTCAACTCCAGATTGCTACATTCAAAGACAGGCATTCAGAAACGGAGACTTCTAGAAAACAAATACAATGCAAACGCAAAGGCGTGGTTAGCACGGAGTAACAGACGAGTACGGCGCTCATATGGTCTAGAGCCTATACGCCTGACGCATCGGATTCACTACCGCTCTCTCCGTTCACCGCCGCTGCTGCCTTCACTGGATCTGAAGTGACCATGAGCAAATTCAGTGCCCATAAGCATGAGTACAAACGCACCGAAGTATGGGTGAGCCTGCGCTTCTTTAGCAGTCAACCTGTCTTGGTGATCGTAACGAAGCAACTTGTCCAAGAAGTCAATCGCCTCATTTGAAATATAACGTTGATTTTCGGAAGCAATGAATCTTGTCCACGGCCTCTTTTGGTATCTATGTCCAGAATGAAGCGATGGAATGTATGGGATTGATATAAGCTTGACGTACCGGCCAAGAATGTCGTCGTACTGCGCATCAAGTTCGATATCGTATTTCTCAAGATAAAGGAACAACTCGTCTGTACCCAGGACCTTGGTGATTTTCACCAGTTGGTCGTAATTGTCGTGGCCGTGGAAAAAAGGCTCCTTTCGGAAGATCTACGTCGCTTTACGTTACCACAAAGATGAAAAAGAATGAGCCCAAGCGTACCATCGAGGCAAACATGCAACCAAGGCTCCACATATCCAAGCTGTAGTCATACTCCTGGAAGTCGACGAGGAGCTCTGGGCCTTTGAAATAACGAGACGCAACTCGGACATTGTATTCAGTCTTCGGATGGTAAAATTCGGCCAGCCCCCAGTCGATAAGTCGCAGCTAGAAACTGTGATAAGTCACATATCAACCAGACAACATAGACAAGTCAACACCTTTCGTCGTTCGTGATCAATCATTACATTATGTGGTTTGACGTCTCTATGCATGATGCCACAAGAGTGACAAAAATCGAGGGCCTACGACTGATCAATACTTGCGCATGGTAAGAATCGAGTAATCCATACCTTCAGAAGCTCAAAAATGTAGAATCGAACGTCAAAGTCGGTGAAACGAGGATATAGGACTTTAAAGTCGGTATTATGCACATATTCGGTGACAAGACTCGGAATCTTGGAAGACGGGTCACGGACAACGTCCAGAAGGGCGACGACATTCGGACCGCCTGCCAGATTTTGGAGGATTTTAATTTCTCGCTTGATTTTCTTCTTCTTCACCGGCTTCAAAACCTTGATGATGCACTTGTCATCGTTGACGATATGTATGCCCTCGAAAACCTGGTATCTCTTATGAAGAACTATTCGGCTGACGATACGGATAACGCACCTCAGAGTACTTCCCTCGACCGACCTTCCTAACGATCTCGTAATGGTCTTGAATGCCCCATTGCACCTGGAGGTTATCTGTGAATCACGGATGGAAAGGATTAGCACATTCCCGATAAACAGAAGATAAATCACACCGACCATACTCATACCAGGAAGGACCACGCTCTGCATTGACATTTGCGTATACCCTTGCAACGGAGGAGACGCTTGAACGAGGCATAGTATACCATTGACAAGGGCTGTCGTGTCGCTGCTGTGTCTGGTGTTGATCATGGTTGTCATCCTAAATAGGTATTTCTAATGCTTACGTGTACTATGACATTCTAATATTCCTACAGAATTCCTTCATCCCGTAGCTTTTCCTTTCTGCATCTTTATCCCAGCAAGCACAGTGCAATGGTCAACAGTTTACCGCCCCTTGCACTAATTTTATTTTGCGTCTACGGTCCTATGATTTAGTCAAGTACGGCACCATGGCACGGTCCAAAAACAACCTAAGTCCGTCGGGTGCGCTGGCACTTCTCATCAAAAGAACTTAATATGGCCGCCAGCTCAGCTAATTGTTCTGGTGGTCCCTGGTATATTGGACTCACGCGATCACACTCATAACCACGTATACTTCTGAATTCATTCTTAATATTCAGATTTACAAGCTTGGTAGCACGGCGTTGCTAATTTTCAAGCCGGGATACGGTGTGGAAACAAACTATCTTACATTTGGATTGCTTATTACATTTACATGGCTTTCATATGAGTGATTGCTAGCCTGGGAATCAGCCTTGTAGATTCTGCACTTGCCAGCAAAGCATGACGCTTCTTGTATATCGCAGCATGTGGTAGATTCCTCTACGGTCTCCGGTAACTTCTCTTTCGTCGCCGCATTTGGACGCGAGTGAACAAAAGCGTTTCGCCGATGCTCGACATACATGTGCAGCTCCCCTCAATACTTCTGATGCTGCTGCGCTCGAAGACCTCTGACTCACGAATTATTGAGGGCTGCTACCTGTCGATGACGGATGCAATGCTTGTAAGTTTAGCCTTTGAGGGCATGAACCAGCTCAAAATGAGTAGCAAACATACAAGATAAGGACTATGATACGTTGCATGCCCCTTAACCTCGGGCTGTGGCAACATAAAAGGGCTTCAAATCTCCTTGCCTATCTCCCATCGGCAGCAGGCTTCGGTCGAGATGTTGGCATCCCGCACACCAATCGTTCAGACGCACTCGCTCCGTCTTACTTTCGTTTTCCTTGTCCTAAGCATTACGCACTTCGCCATTGCTTTCGATACCACGCGTTTTGACAACGTACGTAAATTTTGATTGACATAGTAGTCCTGTTTGCTTACACCTTGTCAAACTAGCTTGCTGTGTAGGTTTGAATAGTGTTTGTACTTCGACTGCTCTCATGCTCTTATGTTTCGACCAGCTATTGGGGACAAAATTCTTATGGCGCAACTCACCCAGATGACCCAGCAAACTGGCAAAAACCCCTCTCGTTTTACTGCGGTGATGACAGCACCATCGATGCATTCCCTGTAGCCTTCTTGAATGTCTTCTTTGGAACCGGCGGATTGCCATCTATAAACTTAGCTAATGTGAGGAGCGAGAATATATCTGGAAGCGTCCACTAACGATGGATATACAGACCTGCAATCCAACTGATAATGCAACCTTCCCTGGCACCCAGCTTCCGGATTGCTCAGCGCTAGCTAGTGATATAGAAACCTGCCAGTCAAAGGGCAAGATAATTACCATTAGTTTGGGTGGCGCGACTGGTTCAGTCGGATTCAGTTCCGACAGTCAAGCGGAGACGTTTGCCGATACAGTTTGGAACCTCTTCTTGGGTGGAAGTAGCGATACTCGTCCCTTCGGAAATGCCGTTCTGGACGGGTAAGCAAATGGCTCCCTTCTGGACATCCAAACACGACTTACGCACGCTTCCACAAAGTGTCGACCTTGATATTGAGGGAGGAGGTTCTGGTTCCTATGCAGCATTCGTCAACCGGATTCGTTCGCATGCTGGCGGTGCTAGTAAGAAGTATGTCTGGCAAATGTCAAGAAGCAGGGCAGGTCTAATTATATTTATAGGTACTACGTGACCGCGGCACCCCAATGCCCGTTTCCCGATGCCTCGCTCGGAGCGGTTTTGAATTCGGCCGAATTCGACGCCGTTTACGTCCAATTCTGTGAGTCCACCGTACCAGATTGTGACATGATGCTGGACAAGTTGTAACTTTTTTTAAAGATAACAATGTCTGCGGCCTCAACAATTTCAACCTCGCTCAGGACTGGGACTTCGGCCTTTGGTAAGGAACGAAAAGGCTGAAATCATAGCTTATTACTGATTCTATTGTATTAAGGGACAATTGGGCCCGGACAATGAGTCCGAACCCGAACGCGAAGGTTTACATTGGTGCCCCTGCATCGAGTACAGCCGCTGGACAAGGGTTCATATCAGCGGACACACTCTCCTCCATTGCCGCACAGACGCGGAAGAGTTTCCCGTCATTTGGAGGCGTGATGCTGTGGGACGCATCCCAGGCAGTTGGTAAGACTATTGCCTATCTTCCCTCGCAACGTACCTTGCTAATCACGCCAAAAGCTAATGATCGGTATGACGCCGCAATTAAGTCCGCTCTGACAGCAGCCGGCGGAACAGGATTTACCTTCCCGCCATGTTCGGCCCCGGAGTTTGTCTCCGGAACTTCCTATACCGGAGGCTCGCAGGTGTCTTTCAACGGGTACGCATCGAAGGATCTCCCCTTCCCCAGAATGACTAACATCCGAGTAGATATATCTGGCAGGCAAAATTCTTCGCATCGTCCACCCCTGCAAACGACCCGAATAACGAATGGAGCGCCAGTACGTTGTTCTTACCGGTCCAGAAAGTAGTATATGACTTATAGTCGATATAGTTAGCGCTTGCGCAGGAGACGCGCCTTCCGGCAGCAGTTCTTCTTCGTCCGCTCCGAGCACTAGCGCACCTTCGTCCACCTCGACAGTGCCGAGCTCTAGCACATCTACGCCCACCTCAACAGCGTCGAGTCCAAGCACCTCGCCTACATCGCCTCCGTCAAGTGGTGGAGTAAACTGCGCCAGTGTCCAAACCTGGACAGCTGGTGTTGCCTATACTGCAGGCGAGCAAGTCGTCTCGGGGTAAGTTTAGAGTGAAACAGAGACCCATTTCTAGTTAATGATGCCTTGTACAGTGGACATCTTTGGACAGCGAACTGGTGGACAGAGGGCGATGTCCCGAACAGTGAGATACTCCTGTGTTGAGTTCATCTTACACACTTTAACGCAGATTGGTTATTAGCAGTCAACGGGGACTGGACCGACAACGGAGCCTGCTCAACGAGCCGTGCCGCGGAGACGATAGCAACAAGCGCACACAGTGTAGCGGCATCAAGTCCGAGTACCGCACGGGACGCATCTACCGTGTCGTCGGATGCTTCAAAGACTGCAAGTGTCGCCTTTGCACTATCCTCTGCCCTTAGTGCTTCACACAGCAGCACAACTGCGAAGGCAGTATCCTCCAAAGGAGAGGACTCGAATTCAGCGTCTGCATCCGCTGCGACTCCTGTAGTGTCCTCCACGGCCAATACTCCTGATCCCCAGACCAAGGAGAGACGCGCCAAGTCGCGTTTCTTCCGCTTCTAAGCCTTCCTTTGTTATTCCCCTCTTCCCCATTACGAAGAGCTAACACCTGGTGTTCTTTCATTGACGTCGTCATCACCTATTATGATTTTATTTACTGGAATCTCTTTGGTCATGTTGTCGAGTACCAACTAGGAAATATCAACCGAACGTGTCATGTATATTCCCTTTCATTGATGTAAAATGTCGGAGTGAATGCTGGACCAAATTCATAAAATTGTACACTCGTCTGTCTACACTAAGACCATAAGTAGGATCTACGTACAGAAATATGTTTGTGAGGGTGTGGAACGTATTCGATGTTTGATAAAGTAAGTTTGTTGGAAAATAAACAAGTGGCGACTATTGCGTTTAGGACAAAGCACGGAAACAGACGTTTGGACGAGAGCACAAACATAGGATGAACGTCTTCTAGTACAAAACTACCATGCTTTAAATGCTGATGCCGCTGCCAACACCCGGTTTTGTTGCTCGACCAGCAACTATAGACTAACCTCTCGAGGACGTCAGCACTAAGAGTAGTCGAGTCGTCACAATACCTTGCAAAATTGCACTGCATACATTTACACAGGCCTTGACAGTCCAGCAAGTAATCCGGAGCTAGAATTGGGTCACAGGCCGAGAGCCTCATTCCCCGTTTGTGTTCAAATCCTTGTCTCTTCCAGACAGAGCCCTTAAGAATGCCTGCCATTCAGAAGCAGTTGGGAAGGGTTTAACCCGCCGTCTCATTGTCCCCTGTGTGCTATGCGCGCCCGAAGTTGAGTGCGCGTGAAGACGTTCAATGAGGCTCGTCCTCAGAGCAGGTGAGGGCATTCTGTGTATATCATATGCCTGCCAGAGTCGACCATCAGCGCGAACAGCGTTTGCACTTATGACGTTGAACATGAATAGAGTACGATCCAGGTGGTGTGCACGTCGGAGGAGAGAGGTACATATTGCCATACCGGCATGTGCATCATTCGCTGCATCTGTGAAATAAGAAAAGACGACATCAGCACGAATCTTGGTTATGGAAATCGACAGAGTAAAATCGGGATGTGAAGTGTGAAAGATATGAAGTTATAGAACTTTGAGGCGTACAAAGTTTTTGTTCCTCGGTCAGCTGTTCCTCCCAATTGGTCATTTTCATCCTGCCTTTGGAAAGCAAGAGTCCCTTGTACACATAGACCAGGCGTGCAATGCCGATATGGTTCGTGAGGTCACCGGGCCATCTATCATGGTCCACACATCGCGCAAGGTATGACAGCTCAACACAGGAACGTACAGTCACGGCATGGTCTCTATAAAGGCGCTGTGCATCACCTGAATCACGAAAAATTAGTTCCGACAAGTGGAAGCTCGACTGCCAAGTGCACTCGCCAAGTATTCCTACACCAGCTTTGAGGATAGTTTCATCGTCCAAGATGTCAATAAGCATCTTTGGAAATGCTATAATCAAAACCAAACGGTAATTCCGAAAGGGTTGCTGTAATTGGCTTGCATATTCGGTACTGGAACTCCGAAGTCACGCACCTTCCATCGCACATATCTGCAGAAGCAGAATCGTCTTGCGCGTCGCAAGTTGCACAAGAGCAATCGGTCGGTCCGGCAGCCCTGCAGCCGTACGCCACTCCACATCCATTCCAGCAATGCGTGCCGACTCTGAGTGTGACGAGGAGTAGAAGACTCGAGCTAACTCCCTGTTTGCTTGCTCGTGATCGCGTATATATATGACCTCTGGTGCATTTTTCGAATCCAAAAATGAATAAACGGGAATATCTGCGGGCTGGCTGTTCTTCAAACTGATCGCGCTGTAGAAGGGAATGCCTGGCTCATCGAGCGCATCGCTGACAACTGAGGTGCTAGGACGAGACATTTCGGCGGGGCGACTAGCTGATTGCCTGAACATCGCGTTCTCCGTGCGCTCCAGGAGAGTTTTGATGGCCGTTCGAAGGTCCTCAAGAGTATCTTAACTAGCTGGGACAATAGGGGGAGCAGACGGGGCAGAAGAGGAGGAAGTGGCATACAGAGGTGAAGAAGAAAGAGCTCTAAAAACTGCTCTACAAGTGCCGCTTCTTTTCCTTCCTCACAAGATAACCCCTCAACTCCTCTGGACATAACTCGTCAAACGTAATTTTGCCTTTACCAGCGTCTGATTTACTGCGAATTCCGACCACCCTCAAAGAGTACCGCAGCCAAACCAGCATATACAGCGCACGGAGGAATGAAGGCTTCTTCCTCGGCTTTAGAATCCCAAGATCCTGCGGTATCGTCAAACTCGTAACATCGAACGCTTGCTTATCTGTTCTCTTCGGCGAGTCGATCTTCGCACCAATCTTTGGTTTAGGCATCCTGGAAACTGTCGCAGAGATCCCCAGATGTTCCACAATATATACAGCACTCCATATATGCGCGTATGGCTTGTCACAGAACTTTTTTCCCAGTCTAGTTAACTTGTTGAGGTTGTTAATCACCGGCGAGTTCTATAAGCCTTTCCAACTTCCTAAATATCTTACCTTTGGGTTTCCTCATGAGGTGTAGATACACTGGCAGTGCCACTTGAGGTGACAAGGGTGTCGCTTGATGATACTTGGACGATCAGCGGTGACGCCTGGGACTCAGTTTGGTTCGGTTTCAGGGATGTGGAATACCATGAACGAGGGTGGGCGGGTCTGTGGCTATGTCCAAGTTCCGCAGCACGAGTAGAGTGATATTCAGAATGGGCGACACGCGCGCCTACTATGAACCCAGTTACGCTTATACTCATATTCCACGTAGTTTTGAACCGCGCAGTCGAAGGACCGGATCTGACGCGTTTCTTTGGCGGTTTTGTTGATTTGGAGCTTGTCAGGAGAAAATTTGATAGAATGAAAGAAGAGTTGTACGTCGCACGGCTTTTTGAGGGAGCCTGGATGGACCGACATGTTGTCTGCTCGAATTCATGAGCCAAGTACAGTAAATAAATCAACTGACTTTTTCCGTTCGTTCAATGATCGGCAGCGACGGATAAACCCGGTACCCGAATCTGACGATTAACCTCAATCCCCCGATCTGACATGTCAAGTAAAAGGAGTCGGACGTACAGGAACACAGAGAGAAATAATCACGTTTAAGAGAAATGCATTCTACTAGGCACAAAGGCTGTTCAGCATTGTTAATGCTTTGATGTCTTTGAATGTACACAGTACAGCTCCAGCTAAGCTCTGATATCAACAGGTTTTATTTCCAAATGACTTGATTTCCGTTACTAATACAGTCTATAAATGAATTTTCAACCTTAGATAGGTCTGTATATTGAACGCCTATAATTTTCGTGTATAACAGCAACATGTCTTAACAGAACCAAGAAGAAAGACACTGTCGTACCTTCGGTGCAACTCGTAGCAAGGCTCATGTGCTCGACACTTAGTACCTACGCTAGACAGATGGCAACAGCTGAGAGTAGAAACCGAGTAGTGCATTGCATTAAAAATAAAGAACTAGACCACAAAGCTGTGCTCTTCTCAAAAAAGCATCAAACTCGATGTGTCTCACATCACTTTTGGCATCCGGAACCAAAAGGATCAAATGCTAGGTGTGGCTATTATTATGAGCGTCTAGATGCATATTTAAAATGACATCGCCGCAGATGATCAACTAGGTGTCGAAATTGGGCGTTGATTATCACGGACAGAACACTTCTCGTCAGTGTTCGCGGATATCGGAGTCGAAGAGGACGAGTTTAAGACTAGTGGAACGGGTTGGACGGACGTTCGGACGTGAATGAAAGCCGGAGGATGCCGGTGAACGAAAATAACTCAAACTCTGGAAGAAAAGAAGGCGAGAGGATGCTGCACAAAATAAGATGACAGGACGCGTAAACTGCGACATCTCCAGTCTAGATATAGATGCGATAGACGAGGAAGCGTGAGATGTAATTGAGATTTACTTGGCGCAGTCGTCAGTTGTCCCATGACACACATGCATTGCCTATTATGAAGTGCACAAAGAATAGAAGTCTGAGCTTAGCTGCAAATTTTTTTTATGGCATGCGGCGGAGAAAAGATGGGATGGTGATGAAAGTTCCGGAGAGTGGATGGATGGAGGACTGCAGGTGCGGCCCAAAACAAGAGCCAGCGGATTATTTATAGCTGATTTGATGGTGAAAAAATAGGCGAACACAGAGACACAGGAGGGGTCACAACCGGCCCCGTTGGCATCGGACGCACTATACTGGCTAGCAGCGCGCCCAGTCGATGCGATGTGAAGTGGGCGTCTATGGAGAGTTTTTATTATGTGGTACTAAGAATGAACAGTGTGTACTGCGCGAGGAAGGTGACAACTGAGGACGAGAAGCCGAATTAGTAGTAGCATGGCGCGGTTAGTGATATTTTTCGCGCGATGAACGGCTGGTGTATTTATAATACCTGCGTGATCTCTGCCATTGCTACTCTTGTCCTGCTCTCTCTTCTTCATTCGAACGTCCTCTCGCTGGCCTTCTTTATGATCTGTCTCATAGTCTAGTCGCTATGTGGTACATAGGAAGATGGGTGTCGGCGAAAAGACCGGAGGAGAGTTATTCGGATTGCGAGAATAGAAACAGGGAAACAGGCACGAGATATAAATAGGCAAAAAGGAAAATGCCAAGCCAAGAGAAATCCAAGATCATATTTATGGATTTCGCCATTCGACCCCTTCCACATTCGCCCATCTTTCGTGACCCCCCATGGATACACCTCCCTATTCCGACGTTTCCGCTCAACTGTCCCCCGGTGCACATGCCCTGCACGTCAACGGCGACCCTCATGCTCCTGGTCCCTCCAATGCTGTGGCTCACCCGCACACTCCGAATGGGTCATCTGCCGGGCCAAGCAATGTCGTCAGCTCCGCGACAGGCTCGGTCGACATACGCGCTCTGTACTCTACAAGCTGGTCGGCCATTGAGAGTCCTCCGCCCCCGACTTTACGGGAGATCCTAACAGCATATAAGCAAAAAGGTGACGGCGACCGCGATATGCTGCTCGCCATGCTCAACGCGAAAAGCGCGGAGGACCAGGTGTGTTTCAACCCGCATAGGCTCACTTCCCTTTTCCGTCCTTCACTTTCGTTTCGAATCTTTAGCCCGGTTTTGAATTTCATAGATGCTGATCATGATCACATTACTTGCAGCGCATTGCATCTCAGTTGTCCCTCCGGCGCACGATGCTCGAGATTAGTAGGCAGACGACCGAGTCGTTACCGCAGCCACACCAGCATCTCCCTTATTCGCATTCTTCCCATGCGCACGGACATGGACAGCATGTGTACACATATGTGCCGGATGAGCAATACCACCACCAACAGCACCATGTCGCTCCTACCTCGCCACCGCCGCCGCACGTGTACACAAACAGTTACTCGTCTAACGCACGTACGCATGGGCAGCTCCGCGCAGTAGAGTCTCCACCTCTATCTTCGGTGACACAAAAGACTATGGCATCTCTGGCCTCGCGTACGCGAGCTGTTCCTCGGCCTCACTCCAGAGATGCAACTCGACCTGCTGGTGATGCGCGATCGCAGACATACTCAGGTACTGCCTTTGAAACTCAACCGCACATTCCTGGCCAAAGTCTGGGTCAGAATCAGCGAAGGAAACGTGCGCGTCATTCGCGTTCGCGATCACGCTCTCCGATCCCTGTTGCTTCGTCTTCCTCGCACCGTGTATACAATTATACATATACGCGCTCTCCTCCGTCTCACTCTGCGTCACATTCTCATTCGCACACAGAGGCAGAGCTGGAACCGGACCGTTCACCTTATTCGTCTGCCTCCGCCTCTGACATTGGTTCACCCCGCACACACCAGACGCGGACGATGGCGATTGGTTCACTGCTGACAGCAGGCTCCAAAGCTCGTGCTGCTGCTGACCACGGTTCCGATGTGGAGCCGAATGAAAGGCCGAATGGGAACAGTTCTATGCCAACGGAACGCATGAAAGAAGAACGCTCAGAGCGAGGGCTGAAGTCATTGCGTCAAACTGGACGTGACCATCAAGAGTCTATCGAACGCTTGCGTGTCTACGATCGTGAACGAAACACAAGTCGTGGATAACAATAATCTTGAAGTGTATCTGTCAGTTGTTTGCGATTACGACGAAATGAGTCTAAATTATGGGTTGCATGATTCATAACTTCTCTCTGCCCTCCCTTTCTTTTCGGCTCTTTATTGGTTCTCTAATTCCTTCCTATTTCTTGACAAGCCCGAAGGCTTGCTTTTCTGATGTCGCTATCGGATACGATGTTTGTTTCATTTCAGTTTTTTTTTCTTTGTCTTGGCATAATTATCTCCTTACGTGTCAACACGATATAAAGGTCCCAACCAATCGTGTATGCTATTAGCCAGTTAGGCACTCATGTACTAAGTACCAGTAACCTCAACGCAGACCACTGTCACGTACATGAACTGCTTTCCCATGCCCTATTCTAGATAACGCAGAGTGATAGCATGTGAGTGGGAACGACAGACCGGAATGTAACTCTGCCCCTAGGAAAACCTTGGCAGTCGGATAAATTAGATGAACCTGAGGACGTTCGGACAACCGCGTACGGCATAGGTCTAATTCGAGTTTTCGAGATGTGTATCTTTGTACCCAGCCGTACGGCACCGATGTTAGTCTCAAGGACCTAATCCATGGACCAAGACAGCGCCCGACGGGAAAGGGGGCAATCATAACCCTGAAATTGTTTCTTGGCTAGTTCATGTGGACTCGACCTCGGCAATATCGACGCAACATGCAGTAAGTAGAGTCTTATGAATGAACGGAACGGAGACGATGAGTAATTAGTTTCTAATCTAATAAAGACCACTGTCAACCCTCGTAATTCCGTCCGTCTCGAGCCCCGACAAAACCGCACTCACAATAAATCTAAAAATAACTCCCGCAATTAACTCATATTTCTTTACATATATGAATTCCCTTCGCTTTTAACTCCAGATCGGGTGACGAAGGAAACGCCAAGGCAGGGAGAAGAATCGGATGTTTCGAACTCTCGCATCATGTTTATGAATAGAAACTCCAGTATGGAGAGAGAGGGGTTGATGCGGAAATGAATTTGCCCAGAACTATAGATAGATTTCGCTAATTGAATTATCGTGATAAGGTCCGAGCATATGTGTCTGCTCTGGGCCCCGCGTAATGTGTTACCACTCACGATCGAGGCCATGGCCAGCTGTGCATTGCGTACGATAATGGTGGAGTATTGAGAAAAGGCGATTCACGAGTAGAGGTCCAGGGCGGGCGAAAGTCAAATTCGAATCACACAGGGAGTAAGATAGGCAATAGGATTTCTTGGTATGCCTCAACTCTATGCCCTGAACTCTCGAAACCTCCAGAATCGCAGCCAAATATAGTACGAGCCTGAGTCTATTGTGCCAGCCTGGTCAAACGACTGCGATCATGAGCTATCGAGCCCGAGACCGATTTCGCAGCCCACAGCTCCGGTACCGGAAGCGTCCTCTTCTGAGAATCTGGGAACAAAAATACTAACGCCAAAGATACCACGGGTACCCACGCGTGTATCACGATCGTCTTGTAATCACCATTCCATCTCATCACGATCATTGGCTGTGCGGATGAACATAGTACTGTAGATGTGATAAACTGATACTGATGGATTTTTTGGATGAGATGGGATGCGCGATGGGATGCGAGGGCAAAATCATGTCGGGATGGCATCAAGGGTGACCTTTACTCGTATCTTGACTGGAGTCCTAATTTCAGACTGCTACATCATGCCAAGACTAGAAGTGGAAGAGAAGATGCATTTGCCCAAAGGTATTATCGGACTGCGGACTAAAAGATACGAATCGCGCTTCTCACACGTCAGTTATACGTTTGAGTTCTCCGCGGTAAATACCTACAGCATAGCTGCAGCAAACACAAAACGCGTGTGCTCTCGTTAAAGAGAAGAACAAGGACCTTTTAAACGGACTCGGAATAGGGCGAGGGCGAGGGAACTGAACCGATTGTGAACTGTGTTCTGAATATAGAACCAGATCAATAAAATATATGGGGTAAGAGCGCACCCTTGTATAGACGAACGACTGAAATAGTTTTTAATGGAGCCAAACTTATCCAAACTGTATTAAGACGTCGAAGATCGCATCCCATTTGGACTATGCACTATTTACTAAAGGGTACACATTTGGCACAGAGTACTTCCGCACCGAAAATTTCTCCTTAGCTTGTCGGGGTACGCAGGCGAGTCTTTGCAAGAGCATTGCGGGAGGCAATGTTCTTGCATGTTCGGGAATACAATGTGATTTCCGCGAACGGAGCCGAAAGAGAAATTATCAGACCTCAGTTCCGAGTCGTGCCAAGTGCGACGTAACAGAAAACGCGCAAGAGAAGTAGGCATGTGAACGGATAAGAATAGACGTGCACAATGTGACTCGCGAGGATAAAGATATGTCTTGATATCGTGGACTTCCCTCGGCCCTCTCCGTGTCTTTCAATTTGAATCCAAATACGCGCGGTGGACGGACGACTCGGACAATTTCATTTGACGTTAATTATGGCAAGGCAAATCGCCAACTCAATGTCAGTGCTAACTTTCGTAGTATCGCGCGAAAGACAAAAATCACAGCAGAACGCAGACAGAGTCTCGGCAGTGGCGTGTATGTGGAAAACAAGCATAGCTCTAGACACGGTGTGTTGACGGCTCGGGATTCGGGCGATGGCGATGACTAAGCACGCATTGTGGGCCCCCAACAGGCTTACCAGCAGTGATCCGCATTGCAATCGAATTCGAAACGAGGGTGGCCATGCCGCTGCATGCCTACTTCCTCGTCTTAGGCTAGCCGGGTCTCATATCTGCATCCAGTCTCACAAATCTCAGCCTCATCTTCATCGGTGACCCCTCTGAAGTCTCTTGGTTCACTCAACTCTCAGTATTGCATTTCAAGTACGGTATTTGTCTTCGTCTTTCCTATCAATTATGCGTCCTTCGTTCCATCCAGTGCTCGGTTCGCATACACTCGTACCGGCGGAATCAGCTGTTGTGCAATGTCAGGATGGCATGGGCGCGACGTTTACGGCCCATTTATCCCAAGAGGAATATGAAGAGGCTCTAGCGAGTGGAGTTCGGATTGAGGTTTGGACGAATATTCCCATCGATTCGCAAAGTGGTAGCGAGTGGAATGCCATCGCATTCGAAGAAGTGGTCCAGGCGACCGATGCACAGGACGCAGAGAAGAATGAGTCACAGTTGTTGTTTAACGCAACTATCGGAACAAAGTGTCCGTCACCCGTATTTGACCAGGCGCATGTCTACCATGCCTCAATCTCACTTCCCTGGGTCCCCGGCCGGGTGTATGCGTTTACTTACCGCCTGGTCTATCCAAGCGGTATCTGCTGGCTTGGATCTGACCGTGACAATGGATTACTAGAGCTCACTGTGGGCAATGCCTTCTTCGATGAGATCGGTCCTTGGGAATCGAATGAAGGAAAGAGAGTACTTGCCGAAGAAAGCTCGGAACGGTTAACGGAATCCGACGAAGCTGTATTGATCGGGAGACTAAACACGGAAGAATGGACATGGTCCGGTTGGGCTACGGATGGATCGAGGTTGGTATTCCTACTGCTAAATTCATAACTGCAATACTTAATAGAGTTTGTGCAGAGTTTGGTCATTGAGTGACACTCGTTTGGAACATGTGCAGAATGCGCGCCTAGCTTTTCTCATCCCAGATACGTCTGCTAGTTCGGTGTTGGTGCCCCAAATCCACATCCTTCGTACACGTTCTGGAAAGGCTCCGTTTTCTATAACTTGTGATGGCCATGTTTTCCTCCATTCCTACCGACAGAGCGCTGCCATTGAATACAGAGTGCACAATTCCATTCACGGGAATGGCATCGAGCACCTACGAGACGATATCCTGTCATCTTGCCTCGCTCCACAGATTTTCCACACGAAGGACACCAGCATGATTCTATTCACGGCAGATGGTGATTCGGATACGTCTGTTACTATACACGTACAACCTCTAACGTCCACGCCATTTTCGCGCCGCTCCATCGTTCTCCCCATCGATACGCTGGGATCCTTCGCGAAACACTCGCCTATACTGTCTTTATTCGATTCAGAAACGCGACATACCTTATTTGTCGATCGTTTCGAATGCCCTAGGAAAGTGGTGCTCAAGGTTGGGGCAAGTGGGGCACGTGTAGTCGTCAGCGCCGTTTATGACTTAACGGATAACTCAAACTCAGCATCCGCGAACTGGAAGATTTCGGTACCGGAGGTTAATGCTAGGCCAGACCGCTCTGTTGTTCCGGGAAGTGCAGAAAATCCACTCCCAACACCACCAGCATCTCCTCAGGCAAAGCCCCAACGGAGTGTAAGCTTCGTTCTACCTGCGGAAACCGACACAAGTGATACGGTCAGGCAGCGAAGACGTGCTGAGCGGTCCGCTGGTACCTCTGAGATAAATAGCGCATCTTGGGGGCTCCTACGCTCAGAGAGTGCCTTCGAGCGTTTTCATGCTGCTTCTGGAAGTGACAAAATAAGGGTTCTACTATTCAATGCGTTAAGGATATTAGCACGGTTCATGGGCATCGCTGTACTACGATTCATCTTGCTGGCACTTCGCCTGATAGGCGGAGGGAAGCAACCGGAAGCAAATCTTCCACAGGTAGGGGACGCACGCGATGAGAGGCATACCGCGTCATCACCCCGAAATGACTCCAACTATGGCGATGCGGCGGAAGGGGAAGCGTCTTCTGTCGATTCAGAGGGTGATGCGTGTTTTCGAGACAATACAAGTGTGGAGGAGCCTTCGTCTGTACATAATCGGAGTGCCCACACCACAGAGGCACCCGCCGGTGGTCAAAGTATCCAAGAACACCCCATGTCCGGTACACCCGCAATTGGACCTGTGTCAACGACGTTACGGTGGGTCCTGCCAGCCAGGAGCGCCACCCCGATCAGACTTCTAGTCCGCTCTGACGCCACGCCGGAACAAGTTTCTAAGCATTTAGCCATTGAGCTTAATGGTGAAGATGTCGGGGCACCGGGCTTGAGCATGTCGTACGCCGTTGACGAGAGGACGAGCGTAATTGAGGTATCCCCACCCAAACGTTTGGTTGAGTCGTCGACGTTACTAGTCGGACTGAGGGCTTGAATAGTCTCTGCGGTCACGCGGAATTTCTCTTGACTTGACTCTCCGTTCTGAGCTTGCTTTCCTTCATTCACACACCCATTGTACAACTGGTAGACTGCACGGTATAATGATATTGAATACATGCTGACCTATTCATCGTATCGCAAAGGGCTGTCGCCGCCGAGAATTCCATATATGGATGATCCCGGGCCGGTTGAAACCAAATATTGAATAGAGGCCGAGAACTGTGGGTCCAAATGACGCCGGGCCGGTTGAAACCAAATATTGAATAGAGGGCCGAGAACTGTGGGTCCAAATGACGCAAACGCGCTCCAAAAGCGTCAGATTGGCTACTGCCTCTTTCCATTGCGCTATGAAATGTAAAAAGCGACCCGCCATTCCCACATAAGTTGCTTCAATCGCACCCGCCTTGGTATCTGAGTCCGCTCCTGCGCCCCCCCTCGGCCCTTACCAAGTCCCTCAATCGATCTCCATCCTCAATCTCTTACTCGCTCACTACTCTGCTGTCTCCTAGGCAAACGAACGACATGACAAACTCCATTGAGGCCGCAAAGCGTCGCTACTCCAAGGAGCTTGCCTCTTACACGTTCGAGCAGTGGCGACTCGCGCGAGCCGCCCTTGAAGCCGCGCAAGCATCGGCTGCTGTCGCTAGCTCGCCGACAGACTCTGACAGAAGTCCCGAGAGGAGCCCTTCTCGAGAACGTAGACATTCGCGCCCGACGAGCGAACCTCAGGCAGTGCAGCAGCAAGAGCTCACTCGCGGTTTCCGTGCAATCGACTTCGCGCACAAAGCACCGCTTGTGAATGGCATGGTGTGAACAATCCGACCATCTTGTTACTTTCTGGGCGTCCCTTCGCATGGGTAAGGGTGACTAACAAACTAGAAAGAAGATAGCATCTGATATTCGTTTAGTATATATTTTTGTGTCACTCGCTGCTAGCAGACGAAGCACACTGCCTGCCCCTGCACGGCCACTTCTCTGCGCACAACAATTTCCACGAGGCGGCATACTCTTAATCGGAGCATAATTATACTATCATCAGCGATTGAACCTTCTGTCTGGGTAGGAATCTGTCGCACATAAAGCGCTCCGCATATCATTATCATCGGAACCTTTTTCCAAATATCAAAATTTGTCCCATGCTTTTACGGACATATGCTTTCCATGCACTGACTGTAAAGTATGCACCCTGCATTTACATTGTTTTCCTATTTATTCCGTCTTCTGTACATTGCAATTCCTCTTCTCTTCAATTCACTGTAGAACAGTATGTACTTTTAGGCAGTATTTCGGCAGCACTGGGTCTTAGCATTTGTCCGCCCCGTATGACTTGCCCCCGCATGATAGCATAGATATTAATAGACAGCATATGTTTGCCATTATCGTAATACAATCGTCCAGGCAATTCAAGCAAACCATCCATCTGTCTCGTATCCACAGACTAGTGTTAAAAGAATACTGAGTTCTGTCAAGAGGACTCATGTTCGTGGTGAGAGTTTAATGCAATGACGACATGAGAAGTGATTCCCACCAGTCTCGGATCCCGTCTTTACCCAAGGAATACACGCGCAAAGCTATCTAATCGATATTTAGCGAAGCCGTTAATAAATGACCGTTGCACATCTCAGTCAGACGTGGTTCCCAACCCCAAAAGGCCTAACCAGGAATCGCTATCGGGCAGCTGACCGAGGAGGAAATGGAATACAGTCTCGTTGAGAGATACACTGAATGCAAAGCGATGTGATAGTCGGGAGAGAAGTAAGGCGATCCGCTGGACATCTGGGGTCTGTGCAGAAACATTGAAGGCAATTGGGAGTTTTGTCTTGTCCAATAGGGAGAGGGGAGTTATCTACATGTTGCGATAGTGAACTCATGACAGAGGAAAATGCAGGATTGGCTAATACCTGTGCGGAAACCGACGCATCGAGACCTAGACTAGATAACACAGCCCGTGCGTCCTTCTCCAGGTCCTCTGATGGGGGATCGATATTCAAGGTTCCTGAGCTGAACACCAGTCCAATATCCGCGTATTCATCACTCTCACTCGCATGACCAGCTAGCACGCTCGAACACGCCTGACCTGGAGCCGCGACTCGTGCTGCTTCTACGAGTTCTCTGACGAATTGTACTCCACCGTCTTCGTTAACGCCATCGGATCCACATATCAGCACGAAAGAAGAAATGTCCAGTTTAATGTGTTTCTGGCTTTCTGGGTTGCAGGCATCGCGAACAGCGAGGACTGTAGATGAAGCGTATTTTGCGTCGTTGCTTGAGACGTTTGCGCTTGCTGAACGCGTGAAGTCCTCTAGTCGGATGTACCCGGAGACGGTCTCGATTATCTTCTGCGCGAGCATTCCTACCTTCTGAGTTGGATAGATTTACTTGGTCGGTGTTCAGAATTTTCGGAAGACGATGACGAAACGCAACTTGAACCATTTGATTGACTGGGGATCGACAATCAATTGATGCGGATAACGTAATCCCCATCGCAGGAATTCATTCATTCAGGATTGATCGATGCCCAGCCAGAACTCAACTTCCCGCGGTCGTCCACTCTTCCTCCGTTTGCATTGTGCAAGAACGCAGGCTGTGGTAAAATATAAGGCAACCGACAACATCCAGCCGCCTCTTGTCCTTTTTCCGATTGATTTTGGATACTCTGTTGGTAGATCGCCATGTTCAGGAAGTTTGAGTTCGCTATCGTACATACGCGGCGTTATCTAGCGACTCACGCGTCTCCGCCACCTGCAAGACCAGCATTCGCTGCGAGCACGAGTTCCGCGCCTCCACCAACGCGCCATGACTGGACGAGACAAGAAATTCAAGAAATTTATGGCACGCCGCTGCTTGACCTCGTCTTCCGCTCTGCGAGCGTGCATAGGCAATACCATGACCCGAAGAAGGTCCAGTTGTGCACATTGATGAACATAAAAAGTGCGTGTCTAACTCGGGACTAATTACTTATGTCTATTGAGGAGAATTCTCGACGCATATAGCCGGTGGATGTACCGAAGATTGTCAGTCTTCCTGCATAGTTGTCTTCAAGCCGGTAATGATACATTTTGCAGGTAAATACTGTTCGCAATCCTCGCGTTACAAGACCGCGACAAAGGCAGAGAAACTTGTCGATATCGAGCCAGTGCTTGCTGCCGCGCGACAGGCAAAGGCGAACGGTAGTACGCGTTTCTGCATGGGCGCAGCGTGGCGAGACCTCGCAGGGCGGAAGAGCGGGTTTAAACGTATCCTTGAGATGGTCCGTGAAGTGCGCGGCATGGGCATGGAAGTATGCACGACTTTGGGGATGTTGTCCGCGGACCAGGCGATGCAACTTAAAGAAGCGTGAGCCACCCTTTCTCAGTGTTCTTGAGCATCCGAGCGTTGATAAACAAGTAGCGGTCTGACTGCATACAATCACAACTTGGACACATCTCGAGAGTTTTACCCTTCGGTATTTTACTTCCTTTCTACATCATACACGATTTATTAATGATCGGGTAGGTCATTACTACCCGGACATATGACGAGCGTCTAGAGACGATTGCAAACGTGCGAGACGCAGGTATCAGCGTATGTTCTGGTGGCATCCTAGGACTCGGCGAGTCCAAAGAGGACCGGGTAGGCTTGATCTGGGAGGTTGCAAAGTAAGTGACCGTGATAACAATTAGAACTACCTTACGAGTTATTTTGTAGCATGCCAGAGCACCCCGAGTCATTTCCAGTCAATGCATTGGTTCCGATTCCTGGAACTCCAATGGAGAAAAATGAAGTACGTTCTTAGTTACGGCCTCGTCGGTCTTGTTATCAATTTAGTCCTGTTCAGCCCATATCTGTGCACAATCTCATTCGAACGATCGCAACGGCTCGAATCGTCCTTCCGTCTACCATAATCCGATTAGCTGCGGGGCGACAGACTTTATCCGAGAGCGAGCAAGCCATGTGCTTCATGTCAGGAGCGAATGCGGTGTTCACAGGCGAGCGGATGTTAACTACCCCATGTAAGTGCCGTTTGACTATTCCTTCTCCCGGCGGCCGACTGATTGGGCCGATCTGCTTCCGGATTTGCAGGTTCCCCATGGGATGAGGTGAGTTCTGCGTCGCTTCTAATTTAAAAAGTCTTCTTGTGCCTCGCTTACTTTTGGAACTCGCTTGCAGGATAAGGCCATGATGAGTCGTTGGGGATTGGAGGGAATGGGAAGCTTTGAGCAGACAAGTGTGTCTAGGAAAGAAGAATCTCGCCTTCATGAGGCAGATGCTGCTGGTGCTGTCGACGTCAAGCCGGCGTTGATGTCAGAAGCAGTATGAAAACGGAAGGCGATATATGGCCTGGCGTAATATTAACAATGTACAGAATAGAAGAACTGACGGACAACTGTAATCAGTCAGTAAGCGCCCACCCGTCAATCGACTCGGGGCAGTCATGCCCAGATCGGGATAATGCGAATGCTCTCGCAGAAGCCGCGCGCCCTCTCGTGATCCTCCTCAGAACCTGTGCAATGCTGAACATGTCTGGGATGCCATCTTCTTTGAATCTTAGCATGTCATCCGCTATGGAGTTCCCCAATGTCTTTCCTTCTCCTCTGGTCTTTTACTGAAGGTATTGGTCTTGCTCAGGTTCTCTTTCGGCTTTCTTTTTTGTGCGGAAATTAAAGCTGTATACGCTTTGGTGCTCATTCCCGTCGGAAGACATGATCATTGAGCTCGATCCTCAGCGGCTCCGCAAGTGCTCATGACTTTTTCAACTCAGTTGATGGTATAAAATGTCGCGCTCCAACAAGGAGTCCACGATTATCTGCTTAATTAAGCCCAAGCTACATTCCCGCACCTCTAAGTTTCGCCTTATTGCTCTTTCTGCTCAAATCTGTTCATAAACTGCCATGTATAACTACCCCACTCACCCGGCTGCGTCACCTACGAACACAGCATCATCATCGGGACATTCTGAACAATCGGCTGTATCAACCTTGTGGAGCACAGGTAGTACTGCTAGTAGTACGGCGAGCAGCAGAATGTCCTCGTCAAACATTTGTTCTAGTGGGGCGTCGAGCTCTCGGGCTATATGCACTCCTGCAATGTTTGGGGATGTGCAAACTTATACTCTAGATGCAAGGCAAACACAGAGTTCTGTCCTGCACAGTTCTCATGCTCGGCCCCCACATACTCCTTCAAGGTCGGAAGACAATTTCTCCTATAACAAGCATCTTAACGTTCATCTGACTTCCTCACAGATACGTTGCACTGTCTACTCAGTATGTGTACGCTGCACCACAACGAACACCAATGTTAGCGTAAGCTCTTGTTATTGTACATTTATTTTTAATGTTACACATTCTGATCCAGTCAACGCAGGAGAGTCTCCATCGTTGAGTACAGAGGCATTGTAATCTATGACAAATTCGTGCGTCCGACGTACGTCCATCTACTTCCAAATGCCATATTTTCTTTTCCGTTTAACCTTCGAGTATTTGATTCTGATTCTGATCCATAGCCATCAAATCGAAGACTTCCGTCCATCTGTTACCGGACTTCTTGCGGAGCATTTGTCAACTTCTGAAGGTACAATTCATGTCAATATCTTGATAATTTCAAAAGTCCTAACAAAAGCTTCTATCATCTATACATAGCCCTGTATATCGTTAGACAAGAAGTCTCTGCTCTGCTCAGGGACAAAACCATCGTCGGCCATTCGCTATGGATGCATTTCTCTGTGAGCATATACACAGTAGTCCGTCCTAACTTCTAACCTCTGAGTCTCTCGCCTCCAGCTTCTCGGAATAACTCATCCTGCGATTCACACTCGCGATGTTGCGTTGTACCTCCCGTTCCATCGTTCCATCCGTTCGTCCACGGTCACGCCTCTCAAGTCGCTCGTCTCGCATCTTATGCGGAGAAAGATTGGGCGGTCACACGAACATCCAGTGAGCTATATTTTTTCTACTTCTCTGCATGTACTGACTGTTGTGGGTTTAATTGAAAAGCTGGAAGAAGCCCGCGCTGCTCTAGATCTATTCCGTTCGTACGAAGAGCCTTGGGAGGACGAGATTCGCGGAGGTGGATGGCCAAGTGCACTTCCACCGTCCTCGTATAGTCGCTTCTTCTCTTAGATTCCAGAGAGGGTGACGAGATGCCTCGGTGTTCTTAGACTTGCCTCCGGCATCGAATTACGCAAAGTCTCTACTGCACGCATGCATAGAAAGGGATATAGTCAGATCGTGATACTATTGTGCTTTCTCCGCCACTAGCTTTTCCTATCGCTCACAGAGGCTTTGTGCGTTGCTATCATGTATCCTTAGAACGTCTTAGTGTACTTTGTAGAATGTGTACAATCTGGACAAGAAAGCGGCATCTGCAAAGGGTATTTAAAAAGGAAGTGATGTCGCACGTGCTAGTCCTGGGATCAGCGAGGCCAGATTTAGCAGCACGGTCTACGGCAATTTGTACCTCAACCTCTCAAATATCTCTGTCATGGCCGCTGAGCATTCACCCCATCTTTACAACCTGGGACAGCCCTCCTCGAACTACATAGGCTACATGGATGGCATAAACAACAGACACAGAGCACAGGTCAATGGCCTTGTGAACGGTTCGACTCTGAACCACTCGGAATACTTCCATCTGAGGTACGCGGAGTCCGACTCTGAGGATGCGGAGCTGCCCGTCGGCGTGGCGGGTGGAAATTGGGGAAAGAAAGCCATGAAGGGCTCGAGATGGGTGCGGAGAGGGAAGGCAGCTGCCTGGGGGCCGAGCAAGGGCGAGTGGGAGGTTCGTTAACATCTCCATCGGCGTCCTTTGCACGTTTAATGCCCTGTCTTCTCATGCTAACACCTCGGACATCGACAGGTAGAGGAACGTGCGCGAAAGCGCCTCAGAACAATGCTGGCGGCCCCTCCGCGCTCCCCATCGCCGCCAACACTACCTCATCTGCGCGAGTCGAGTCCACCGTTGGCAGCGCCCTACGCGCGTCCCGTGAGTGGCCACGGGAGCTTCGCAGCCTTTGTGCTCGACCCTGCGATGGCGCATAGCTACCGCACGCATCTGCTCGCAGATTTGCAGCGGACGACGGACAGCTTGATGCAGGGCGAGGCTACACTGACACGCGCATTGGGTCGACTATGGAAGGTGCTAAGCGAGGAGGAACATGTACTACCGGAGGGAGAGGATAACGCGAAAGGAAAAAGCCGCGAAGCTGCTGGAATGACAAATGGCATTGAAAAGGATGGTGTGGACTTAGAGAAACGCGAGGAGGACGAGGACGGTGACGATGACTTGAGCGAACGTGAACGGAGACTGGCTCGGGCACCGGATCTATCGCAGCCGATGCACAAGCTATTTTTAACACCCTTCCCTGACGGAGGTACAAACATGATGGAACCTTCGCATTTTGGCAGCCCACAGATGCAGCTAGAGAGCATGGAAAAGTCGTTTGCTACGCTGCGTGAACTGCAGGATGACTCGCGGGAATATGTCGAGCGACTTGCGGAAATTCGAGAGAGCCTGGGGGACGTGCGACGTCAGCGAGATGTGCTTTGGATGAAGACGCGTGACCAGGCTTTGGAGGAGCTGAAAGAAATTGACCAGAGCACCGTGGACGCCGATGTGGACGCCGATGTGTGAAATTGGGAGTATTCGTGGATAAATTATTCATGTAGCTGTATGTATGTAGAATTGATTTAATAGTTTATGGTACATCATATCTCGGGCCTGAAAAGTCTGAATGGAGAAGCGTCGTGTGGTTGGCAAGGCAAGATGAAGAGGAGGATGAGGAGTGGTGACGTCGCTGCAGGTTCGGGAGATTAGACTATTGCGGTTCTCATGGCCTGATCATCGTTGATGCGTCCCGAACGGAAGCCTGTTCTAGCCGACTACTCTCAACAGAACAGTGGCGCTCTCTGTCTCCCTTTCTTCTCTTTCAATGCTACCACATACACGATGAATGGCCACCACCGTCTACCAGATCTATCGCGCCTCAGGATACACGACCATGGCCTCGACGACGACGAACAACTCATTCCAGATGACATTGTCCATCCGCTGGGTGAGCCGGACCCTGCAATGGATCGGCTTAGGACATACGTCAAGGGTCTACCGTATTCCGTCGAGTCCAATTCACACATGCAGGGGGTTCTCGACCTCATCTGCACTCGTCTGTTGCAATGTGTACGCGCAAAGGATTTCGACCCAGGTTTCTTGCAGTGGGACAGCATGCTGACCTAGTGAGCTCTCTCGCGTGCACTCCTACTCTTCATACAAATTTATTTATAATCTCAATGTCATTCACTCTGATATTTTATTTGGATAATAATTCAGCTGGTCGATGCTCAAGTACCCCATACCCAAGCAGAAACGCGTAGCGCTTGTCAAGCTTTATTACGAGGTTGCAGTCATGCCTGGCATGCCAGCGAATATCATGGCGGTTGCCGCCGAGGCGCTCAACTACCTCACCCGATCTAAAAATAAGCTTTCTATCGAGGACTTGCGCCTACCATGGAAGCCTATTTACAAACTTCTTTCTAAGGAACTGTTCCTCAGTAGAAGGAAGTTTGAGATTAAGTGCGTGCTGAATTTTGTTATTTATGCCAGTGCTATAATGAACGATTATTTGCGTGGACTGTAGTCAATTACCGGCGTACATGGGCTATATCTGTGATTCCTCGAGGCGGTTCTTCCATCCAGCTGCGATCGACGAAATGCTGGAGACCTTCCTTCCATTCATGAATGGTACCGAGCTGAACGTAAGCCCTTAGAAATGACTATTTACATGTATCTCAGCTGATTCGCAATTATCTGTAATCTTTCTTAATGTTAAGTCTGTCCTCACCACGGAGTATTACTTGCTCTCGTTCCTGCCTCAATCCCACCCACAGACGTACCTTCCGATGTTGTTTCGTCTATGGGAGGCGGTAAACTCTTATAATTTCGACGAGAGGATGCTCAACTTCCTAGCGCAACTTGCCGAGATGCATGTCGACCCGTCGGTGAGTGATCCGGCGAGAATTGAGCAACTTCCAGACGATGCGCGATCGGAGGATGAGGGCCGACCGAATTGGCCTAAGGACGATTTGAAGCATAGCGGACCGTGGACTGGTATCCACAAGGATGTAGGGATCTTCACTGAAGAGGAATGGAGTTTGATTATGGTGAAGTGCTTGGCATCGATGGGTACGTCCTTGCTTAACACCTTTGATCTTAATTAGCTTGCTAATGTAATGTAATTGGTAGAGATCCCGCTAGCGGATACTGGATCATTAACAACTGGTCCTTCAGTCGATGGCCAGGCAGGCTTCGAGATTGGCCGGCTTCGAAAACCGACATGGCGGATATGTATGCGTGCTATAGTCTGTCATTTTCACTTCGCCGCACTAATGTTCTGATGTACATAGTTTCTCTTGCCCGTATTATCGTATATTCGATGGAGCAGGATGGCATTCCTGTTCCACCATCTGGCATCTCGACACCATGGTCACCTGGAGTTGCAACACCGGGCTTTGCAACTCCAGACGCTGGTGGCAATTTGGGCGATTATCTCTCTGCTCCGCTGGGCAAGAAGCAACGTAAATTGCAGACATACCTGGCGGGCTCGAAGGCACTTGATTCGCTTGCGCGGCTCATAATGTCTACGGAGAGTTTCTTCCATCCAAATAATGCTGGGAGCTGGACCACCGATGTATGTTTTTATGGTCATTGGAAGTTCGTCTTGCATCTTGATTACTGACTACTTTTAGTTGACCGCATTTATCAAATATGTGGTGTATGAGTTCAACAAGCGTATGTTTAGCTCATCATTCTCCGTATTGCCACGCTTGTTCTCATCGCTGCTTTGCAGGTTGGCACGAAGAGCAAGAACCTGATTGCAAGACACCGATGGTCTGTTCCATGTGTCATTGAAGAAATGATATTGTTACTTATCTTGAAACAGCATCGCCGCTTAACACGTGAGATGAAGCGCGAACTTGTCAAATGTCTTCGGACAGTCGCACTCCTCGCTATGTTTTCACGGGACGCAACGACAGTATCAAATATCCAGAGTTGTTTGAAGTCCATGACAGTGATGGAGCCAGACCTTATTCTGCATCCAGTTCTCGAGCGTGCAATTCCGTCACTTGAAGCACTTGTCGAAACGCAGCGCACAACTGCTGTCATTAAGGCGCTGGGCGCTGTAGCACTCAGTTTGGTATCTAGGGATATCTATAAACCTGGTGCAAAGCATCTTGTGCAGATTTTGGAGTTGCTGATTCCGGGGATTGATTTGGTGCGCCTGACAAATATCGTCGAATTTAATGGTTGCTCATTTCCGTTTTATTGTTTATGAAGAATGACCCGGCAAAAACTGTGAGTGCATGATCATCACATTCAACCGAATGACAGCTCAGCTTCTCTACCTCTAGCTATGTACTACTGCTTTCTTGGTTGAGATATCACAACACATACAGTTCGGCGACCTTACGACCGTCGGTCTTGAACCACAAACCACCACGGACACACAATCACCGGCGGAAACGAGACGAATGGGTTTCGAAACACCGACCCACATTCCGGAGAAGCCTTCTATAGTACTAATGGATGATGAAGATCGATTGGACTTTGATCGCGAACCTACTTACACAGATGCAGAGGAGGATATACTAATAAAGGAGAGCACCGCTAGTTTTGCGGATTGGATATCTAATTTCATTAGGAGAGTCATTTTGTTACTGGACAATCTACCTGAAGAGGGAACGGATGGGACATTGCGGGGAGGAGAGTCTGAAGGTATTCGTTTGTCTCTCTTTGGACGGATCTGTGCTAAATGTCTTCCTTGGCATAGTGCAAGTGATCGATTCTGTTGCAGGCGCCTGCAGCCAGATCTGCGTGCACCTTTCGGAGCCGCTGTTCGACCTTGTGCTCAATATGGTATTTGACTACGCAAGCACAAACGTCCGCTCGAACGCTGTTCGCGCGGTACATCAACTTGTAGAATGTATGGCAAACGCCAACCCGGAGAAGACACTCGCGAAGTTTGTGCCGTTCTGCACGCACAATATCCGCGTTGAGATCGAGCATGGGGCAAGTTCATTGCGGACTACTTCGACAAGTAACCCAATTCCGTCAGATGCGACTCTACATTGGAGTACGTGTTTTCCCCTTTATCTGTAACTTTCCACTTCCGATACAAATGCTCTTTCAGACTTGGCTATCCTTCGAGGTGCGATGCACAAGTGAGTTGCAAGCTTCTAACCGAGAAATCCCCCTTTTTTAACATCAGAACGCCACCGCAGCGACGGAAGAGCGGTACGCCGGTTACTTGCCAAGCTGTCCGTTAATGTACCCATATTGAGGAAATGACTCGTCTAGGTACTGAAGTACAAGAACGAACTACTTGATCTGTTCTGTCTGTTGCGAGACAAGGCGTTTTCTAAGCGGGGTTATTCGTGGAGCGGGAAGCTTTTGTCGAGTGTTCTACTTACCTTGACACATACATATCCGCTTGAGAACAAGTTCGTTAACCCGGATGAATGGAATAGCGAAGGTGATTTAGGACAACGTGTTCTACGGACAGTTCTCTCATTTATCATTCAGATTTCCGCAGGAATCACCACCGGTATTGGGGCAAACTTTACCTGCCAGAGGAAATCCAGGTAGGTTATTGTGGTCTTATGACGGCGAACTGACAACTTGGCGTCTGACTCGCGATAAATTTTAAGATGTCATGGCATGTTCCCTGTCTTGAAGAAATCGACTTTGCGTTGGGTCTGTTCCGCGAACTTGTTGAGCCAACTTTGGGGATGCTTGAGAAACTTCTGGACACGCGTAGGTGACATGATAAATTCGTTGTTTGGTCCTGTGGCTGATCTTCTCCAAAGCTCCGGAAGCGCGCGATAGCGTTTGGAGGAATGACTTTTGCCGGTAAACAACTTTTCGGTGATTTGTAGAGTTGATTGTGATAATGAACGTTAATATTCAAGGTATATCACCGTTGTGCGTAACGCATTTTCCGGAACTCCGACTCTCGTATGCGAGCATTATACGGCAGAAGAACTTGAGGAAAGCTGCACGACGTCCGACTTATTGTAAGTACCGGCGCAGAACGTCATCTCCGATGTACATAGTTAAAATTTCCTGTCCCCTCAATCAGTAACGAGCTTCCGGAAATGATAGGCCATGTCGAGCCGCTGAAGGCGTGTTTTGTGCTTACCGACCCGACGGATCCTCGCTACAGGTACATTACGAACCTCCGCCGGCGGTTTGGAGAATTTCTACGCAGCGCTTCTGCTTCCCTGCGACAGCAGGGTGAGGAGAACACCGTTGACGCGGTGCACATTTTGGTCAGTGACTTAAGGCTCTTGCGCGGCCTCCCCGTTTCTTATTTTTATTAAACTTTATCTTAAGATCCGAGCCATTCGCACTTATGCTCTGGAGTATGGAGACAGTCGAGATAGGTGTGTATAGGTTGACTGCCTTTCTTTGTGTTCATTGTTCTGAGGAAAACTAGCTACTACTCGCAGAGTGACCAGTACTCATCGGAGATCGGACTCTCGAGACAGTATGCCAAGCAAAAGGTGTGGCCAAGGGCTGTACTCGTCAGACGGATAAGGTAGGCTAAAAGTTACTGACTTGCTGTCCGATACCATCTGACAGGATGTTCATGAAGGCGGTATCACGCTGCTCGCTTGAGGTGGAACTCGATTGAGCGGTTACGAGGCAAGCTCGAAGATGATCTGATCGATGAACTTGTGGAGTGGTGTATGTGGCATTACTCAACTGGTAAGTCAACATTTTGCCTCTGCCTTACTCCTTTACTGATTCTCTTTCAGTCCGGGAGTGCGTGAATAGTTACGGACTTAATGGCTTCGTGCTGACAATTCACTAGATCTGCACAGTCTGCGCTGAGCTCATTCTGTTCCGTGCGTTTATTCGTATGGTATTACCGAACTTCTCGCTTATTCCGTTTTTTGTTCTTCAGGCGTATGATGGCGTCAGACGACGATGTCTCCCGAAACTCATCGAGTCGATTGCCCCGGGTGGTAATGAGGACCGCATTAAGGGCGCACTCTACACGCTCAACATGCCCGTCTTGAGTGAGTTGCCTTTCGACCTACTCATTTCGCATTCTAACTCTCCACCTTAGCAAAGTATGCTCTCCAAGAACCTGCGTTCAAAGTTACTTTCCTGAAGGCCGTCTTCGGGTGTCAACCGCACACCGATGTTCGTATATTCAATAAGCCTCGTCTTGTTAGGCCGTATTTATGAATGAATTCCTCGTAGCCTTCACTGCAAGATTGTGCATCAGCTTTGATAGACAATTGTGAGCCATTGAACTATTCTTCGCACCTCGTTCATGACTCAAGATTTTTTCCACAGGCTTGTCATGTATCTACGAACCGAATACCATCTATTATTCGATAGATAGCTCTAACATGGAGGGCGCGGCGGACGCACTCGAGAAGGTCCTTGTGCCTACGTTCCGTAACAAAAATCTGGTGCATCGGTGCACTGAACATAGGGTACTTCGCACGAATATCTACAATGATTCTGTGAAGCTTACCGTGAGTACCCTCCAGGCCCGTCCGTTATTACTTCGCCGTGGTAGCTAACATGAATTATATGTACACCTTTCAAGAGAGACACTGTACTTGAGATTGCGAAGTCATCGAATACGCATTGGAGATATGCGGTCATCGCCTTACGCATCTTGAGGACTTTGATCCGCCGCGACGAGCCGCTGACCGGAGAGCAGATGAAGTACTTTTTGGATATGACGCATGATTCACATCCTTCTCTTGTGAGCCCCCAATCTTGTTGATGATTGCTATGTTCTCATTTTGTTTTTCCTATAGCGATATGTATGTTACGCCGTACCAAGTTTCTTTACCACAAGCTAACTTCTTAAAAATAGTATGGTCAAAGAGCCGTGATGAAGAGTTTGCGATATGTCAAGCTCAGGACGTTCCTGCAGTCACCGGAGGACATCGCAATGGAACAAAATCATAATCCTCTTCGCGTTCGATTCGAGCTCGAATCTCTCGACGGCGAGTTCAATGCCCGTTATCTCCATGAATTCAGGGAAAGGCTCTGTATCAAGAAGGCAGAGATCGAACCGTGAGTGATATTATTCTGGTTGCACCTGTGTTTACTGATATCCGTGCTGCATTCAGCCATCTGCAAGACAAGGCTTTAGTTGGCTGGTTGACTTGGCCAGCTACGGTTGATTTCTTCCTCTCTCCTCCGCCAGGAGAGTCGACTTTCAAGCCCTGGGAGTCCGCCAGTCAGGATATGATCTCAGCGATACGCAAAGAGGCGACTTCTAAGGAGTTCTGGAAATCTCTATCAAGTCATTATGCTGAGGAGAATCATGCGACTGTTGCTACTCAAGATAATATCTCTTGCGTCAAGTCCATATGTGAGTTTCTCGTTTTCATGATATGATTGCAATGATTAACGATTTCACATAACCACGCAGTCCAATTACTGGAGGAAGAACCGTTTGAATACTTGCGACCTTGTCTCGAAGAGCTCATGAATGACACCGACCAGAACAAACAGCGTGCAGCATCGGAATTGATTGCTGGTATTGTCGGTGGCTCGAAGCATTGGCCCTCTGATGCACAGGAGCGTTTTTGGACTTGGCTGACGCCTTTGTTGACTAAGGTTCTCAGCTCTAGCGTTAAAACGGATACGATGCTTGTCTGGACATCGTTCCTTGAAGTAAGCACGGGTCTAATTCCTTTGTTAAGCTTGATCTGAGTGGAAACTTTGCAGTACTTGTTTTTCTGCAGAGATCCCAGACGAATACGGCCACTTGTAGAATATATCATGGACACCTTCAAGACAGAAGACTTCAACGCGGAACTTTCGTTCAATGCTGTCAAGATTGCTTCGTTTACTCGTGCGTTCTATGAGGAGCTGGGTTGGCGAGCGGATGCATGGATGGATGAAATCGTAGAGCGGTATTGGCTCGAGCTCAATAACGAGCACGACGAAATTCGTGCCTATATAGCTGATGCATTGGAATTCTCAACGAAAGTGAAGGTACGCGCTCAAAAGAATTCCGCTGGAACCGACTTATTAATAGTTTTGAATCGTGACAGTGGCGACCGAAGCCGTCCGTTCCTCGACCCGAAGTATTCGTCCGAGAATGTCGGGTTCTGTCTCCTGAAGTTGATATCATGGGAATCCAGTCCACATACCATTCTGGACGCGTTAAAGAGCTCGTTGAAAACTTCAAAGTTTGGCGGAAAGAACGTATCCCAGGAGCGAGAGCGTTCCAGTCTAAGTATGATCGAATTGCAGTGACAGTTTGCAAGTGGTTGTATCAGTCGATACATGACATTCATGCGAGCTCTGTGTTTGATTACATCCTCCCTTTGATGGTACGCTGCAAATTTTCTCGTTCTGAGGGCAATGAAGCTAATCATTAAGTAGCCTGAGCTATTCCGGTTTAGCGAAGGTGGGTATTAGACGGGTGCCGTTATCAGGGTATTAGCTGACGGATTTCCCAGTTAACGATAATGATGACCTTTCACGAAGAGCTAACAACTTACTGGTTCGCATGTGTGGTGTGGTCCCTCCAGGGCCACTCGTAGATCCCATAATTGACGCCATTTTTGATGCGATCAAAACCTCTTCAGTACGTTTTGGTCACTTCTTACTTACCGTCTGGAAAATTGACTCTTTCCCAGTCCTGGAGAGTACGGCTAAAGGCTCTGCCACTCTTGCAAAGTAAGTTTTCAGTCATGTTATAGGTCGGATAGAATTCCTGGTTAACACTATGATGCCCAACACCGACTTTCTTTTAGTCTTCTACTTCCGACAGCTAGTCTTGATTTCTGAAACAAAAGTTCTCGAGATGCTCGAGGTCATTTGCAGATGTCTGGATGACGAGAACATCGAGGTCCGCGAGATGGCCGCAACGTGAGTTTCTCCCATTTCTCTCTTCCAAATTATCCCTAAAATTCAATCATCTACTCCCAGAACTCTATCAGGAATCATCCGCGTCTCTCCCCGACACGGAATAATCACTCTCAAAGACCGCTTCGTTCGTCTAATCAACATGCACGAGCTCCCCCCTCGCACATCCCCAGCCTATACATCCGCGCTCCGCAAACGACACGCAGCTATCCTCGGGATCTGCGCACTCATCGATTCCTTCCCTTACACAGTCGAAAAATGGATGCCATCCCTGTTAACAGACGTACTCGCTGAACACACGTACGATCCACTACCTGTTTCGAGTACGGTAAGGAAGTGCGCGGGAGCGTTTAAGAAGACGCATCAGGATACGTGGCATGAGGATTCGAAGAGGTTTACGGAGGAGCAGTTGAGTGCTCTGTCGACGTTGCTTACTGGGTCTTCTTACTGTAAGTCTTTTCCCTCTTTTTTCTTCTTTCTCTTAAGCGACTCATTGACGTCTGAAATTTAATATTTTATCCAGATGCATGAAAGGAATCGAAAACTAACCAACTAACAAGCATCACACTCATCTAATGATCTATACCAAAATCTTGGTTCTTCAAATATCAATATTGGATTCAACATCCATATCTACCTAACAAATCTTCTTCCTACTTCCTTCATACCTTTTCCAATCTATCAAATCTATAGAAATTTACTTTTGCATAGTAAATAGTCGCTTCCAGCGCCATGGAATCTAGGACATTGATATTGTTTTTCTTTCTCCTTTTCTGCACTTGCTTAAATCGCGCGTTTACATAAAACGTGCCTATTCACATATTCATGTATCATTTGTATGCATGAATTATGGTATTATGGTATCTTGATTCTTGTATGCCACTGCTTTACTGCTTGTCAATGTCTGGTCTTGGATCGACTACAGAGATGCGGAGGAAAGAGGAAAAGGGAGAGGAAAGGAGATAGTTCCGCCGAACCGAGTAAAAAAATAAGGGAAAAAGGAAACATGAGTAGAAGGTTGTAATGGAACCGAAGTACGAAACAGTGGGACGTGAAAATAAAATCGTTGACCTTGTTTACCTACCCGAAGAACCGAACGAAGGAATATACGAACGAGTAAAAAACAAAAAACAAAGAACGAAGAGTGAAAACGGAATGGTATATGTGAGAAAAAGAGGGAAGAGAAAGGGTATCAATATGAATATCGAATTATCAATACCCATTAAACTCGAGCTATAAACAGTCGAAAAGGTATAAGGAAATAATATAATATTGGGAGGAAAAGAGGTTATTGTGTACGTCACGAAGGCGGGAAAGCAGGTGAAAGCAACTGTCCACTAGCTGCAGTACTCGAGCCAGGACGAGACTCTCCACCACCTCCTCCAGCGGCAGGTGAACTCCCTCTCGTAGGAACGGTGGGGACGGGGGTAAAACCGAAGGAGTTGCGCGTAGGTGTAGACGTCGAAGTGCTTGGCGTTGCAATCGTAGCAGCACTAGAACTACCAACCCCACTACCGCTACCGCTAACAACAAGCGGCGCGTTCAAATCCAAATGCGAAGGCGCCGCAAGCCTAGCAGGCGAAGGTGCCGCTACGGGTGACCGTCCATACACACTCCCTCTTCCACTTCCACTCGCACTTGTACCTCCACTTCCGGTCGATTCTCTCCCTCCCCGAGCATGTTTACGGGTACCATCGGCTTCAAGGTCCAACGAAATCCCTTCTCGGGTCGTCTCGTGTCCGTCAGCCGTCCCGCTCCTCGCTCCCGCAGCTGGTATCCGGTCAATTAACCTCGGACGTCGACTTTCCGTGCCGTTCCCGTCTGAACGGATCCGGTTGTTCGTGCTCTCTTCTCTAAATAAATGCGTAAAATGTAAAGGAATGTTAGTTAGCACGGCATGGTAAGCAATGGTAGGCATAATATGGTATGGAACAGGAAAGAATCTCAAAATCAAATATCAAACCCAGGGTCAAGCAAGAACATCAATTTCGGAGAAACGGGCGGGCAAAGGTCCAAGTGGGAGAATCCCCCACAAGGGTCCGCCACTCGCATCCGTATCCGAGACCAAGAAATGCTTGTGTGAATAAAGAATAAAATGGGTTGCCAAGTCCCCGCAGAATCACCAACGAACTGAATGCATTCTGATCGACGGACGCCGCAAATTGGATCGGCCAACAGAATTGAATAAATGCAGTCATCGGCGCACAAGTGAAGCACGAGGACTCATGCGTGCGTCCCTTGAATGCAATGCGGAAGAAGTAGCATACGATTCAATGCAACAAGGCACGCATGAACGGATCAACGGGAGCGCAGACGACAAGGTTGAAATGACAAAGTTCAAGAAAGATAGAAATCCAAGTCCATAATGAAGGAGAGAAAGGGGAAGGAGGTAAGAACGCACCGAATCTCAGCAATGAGGTCGTCAACAGCGTACCACGCGAGTGGACTGTATGCAATAGAGCGCCACCACCCACAGCGGTCCATAGGAGCAACGTACGCATGTGCGTGCAGGTGGTCTTTCACAGGGAGTTGGGTGTCTTTCCATGGCGGGCTGATGAATCCGATGCGAAATCGATCATTGATTTCTGTTTGCGTCGTTGATGTGGGTTGGGGCGCGAGCGTGGAGGACGATGGTAATGGTGATGCTGGAGGTGTAGAAAAGGACGGACGCGCGCTCGGGGATGAGGATGAACGGCCTGCGATAGTGGTGAGTTGCGAGAGGAAACGGTGTGCGAGTTCGCGTAGCTGAACGAGCAACGGGATGTCACTTGAAGACTGCCACAATCCAACGTCAAGTCAATTCAATCAGCAATCCGTACCTTTGGAACTAAAAATAAATATAGAATACACACGAGCATGTACAATGACGGGACGTGTAGACTAGAGTGATAAAGTTGCCAGCTCAGCGACGTATCGTATGAAACACGGTAACTAGCGAGAAGAAGAATATACGCACTTGAAGATTATGACGAGATGCGCAATGCTCGAGACGGGGTGTGCGCGTTCTCGGTAGACTGTAAAGTGTTCATCTTGCCAGAGTATCTCCGGTTCATCATCCGCTCGTCGTTTACCCCTCCTCGTGGAAGAAGATGCACCAGCACCAGCAAATGTCGTTATAGACGGAGAAGCCGAGTTAATTGTTGTTAATGAAGGCGAGTCTGGTCTTGGGGAGACGAGTGGGGAAGCAGGCCCAGTGGCGGATGCCGCTCGGGATACGATGCCACATAGCGGACATCCGGGTTTGCTCGGGAAGGCCATGCAACGTGCTTGCACACAGATTGAGTGAGGGTCGCCACGGCCGTTGTAGCAAACGGGTTGAAGATGCTACTGGAAAGGACGGGAGAGAAAGAGAAGGAAGATGGGGCCAAGCCTCTCGGACGGGGAAGCAGATCGGCAACTAGCACGGATCACGCCAAGTGGGTGTACTCCAGTTGGGCAAATGGACTTGTTTCAGGACTCGTTGTGAAAGAGTGCGAGCAGTGAGGAGGAGGAGAGAAAGGAGGGACGAAGAGGAAAGGAGGACGAGGGATGGAATTCTCAAATTAAGGACGAAAATGACGAACAGGTGATGCTAATTTGATATTTGTGCGCCGCGCCGTATCTCCTCCGCAGTCAGCACGTCCGTCTTGTCTCACAAGTACTCGACAGCACCCGTCAACCCCTGCTCTGGCACTCTCCTACTCAACGGCTATATTTTTCACTTTTGGGTACCCGGCTTTCCTACCAATCTTTTCTTCACCGAAACTCGAGTTAGTCGACCCTCAGACCCGAAAATGGAAGATACACTCATGCGAAGCGTTCTCGTCGACTAAACGCGGCGAACAGCACCAATCTTTCGACCTCCATCTGTTCTATAATTTCTATCGTTCGCATCTAAATACAGCTTCTATATACGCTACATGTGAACAATATCCACGTAAATATTTCGTTCTCGGTGTGTGAACCACGTTTTGCATTTCCGAGGGAGATTCTCCTGGCGATCCGGCTTCGGTCCCGGCCAGTAGCCGTTCATACCGGACTTCACTTAGTCTGAGCCTTCGAGCTGCGGGACTACGTACCCGCACTCATCACAAAGCGGCGCCCTCCCGTCCTCCGTCGTTTTCTTTCTATCTTGATTATTTCTTGCCGCAATGACTACAGATCCATCACCTTCGCCACCGCGGGTGCTACAAACTCATGATGAAATCGTATCTGCTTTCTCATTAATGCGTGACGAGCTAGATGAACACAACGATCGCCGTGAGCGACTTGTCAAGGTCCGTTAATTCTCCATTCCATCCGTCCATCTATTTTGCTTCCGAGATTCAGCATGTAATGCAGAACTTGGCAGACTAGTCGGGACATCACTATCATTGCCAAGCGTGTCATCTTTCTCCTACACCGGTGCGTCTCGACTAGATACCGAGGGATGGAGTGACATTGAGTTGGATATATGCACTTAGACTCGTAACAGAGGCCTCTCCGACCGACCCTAATGCCTTCACTTCCGCAGCCGCACAGGGGCGTGACAAGCTCGTCGCTGCACAGAAGCTGTTCCGCAGTATGCGTGAAGACCTCGAGGGTTCTCGCTTTTGGCACTACCAGCAGGCCATATCTCCTGGACTACAGGAATATATCGAGGCCCTTGCATTCGCCCACTATGTAGAGACTGGGAGGCTCATCGGCTATCACGACGTGCAAAATTCCTTATGTTGCAATGATGATGAGAATAGGAAGGAAAACGTCAAGCTGTTCCCGCTGCCGATGGATGACTATTTGCTTGGTGTGTCAGATGTAACGGGTGAACTAATGCGTTTTGCTATCACGGCAATCGGGAGGCGCGGTGGTCGCGGGACAGCACGCGCCGTCTCTGATTTCGTGAGGAATTGCAAAGCAGGTATGTGTGTGTTATTTTGCAGAACGGAATAATCTGGGGTGTTTGCATACTTGACGATTTGCACTTGTAGATTTTGAGGGCTTTACGCCCTATGTGCGGCATCTAGGGAAGAAGCAGTCGGTCACGGCGCAGTCTTTGCAGAAAATCGAAGACAGTAAGTTTGTTGTTCTCTGCATCCTCTTTTATTATTTCCTCGGCCCATGGGAAAAGTAACTGAGCTATCAACTTTGTTTTATGTAGCAGCGTATGCGATTGCGGTCAGGACATCAGAGTACGATTTGCCAGAAGACATGCTGGACGATATTGTTGAGCACTGCGTTTCTGATGTGAGAAGGGGAGGTAGTTCCGGACGAGGACGACAACGATTTGGCGGGGGCGAATACGAAGAGGAGTCGGAAGAAGATTACTGAAACGGGCGCGCTGGGGAGAGGAGGTTAGCTACAGTTCCCACCGATAGGTTATTGTGTGTTCTGCCCGTCGCTAACGGGCAGCAGAGAAGCAGAGCGAAAAGACAGTGTACAATAAGAAATACAAAGTGCTATGAAGGGGAGAACAAGAAGTGTGACTGGCCAAGGGTTGAAGAATAGGATGATTTCCTGATGCAGTACTCGCAGACAATAAGACTCGTCCAAAACGGAAAATAACAAAAAACGCGCGCTGGGCAAGCCAAATGTCCTTAAAACCAGGCATACTGAGCCAGAGAGAGTCTCATTCCGCATTTCGGATTACTCTCCTGCCTCGTTCTCGTTCCAGTTCACTCTGTCTCTCGCTGTTCTTTTTTTTTCGCCTTTGCACTACTAAGTGAGTGAGCGCTTTGTTTGCCGCGGCGAGATTTGCGGCTGACTGTATGCATTGATATTTTGTTTGATGCTTCGCCCGCCAGTCCGCCGCCGTCGTACCGGTCTAAGTAAGTGGCTGCTGCATATATGTTGCTGTGAGATGAGCTTGCATACTTATATATTGGACAGTATTGTTGTATTGCATTCGCCGCTCTACGCCTTCTACGCCTCTGCTGAGGAGAGCCTTCCTTATTCGAACCATCGCAGGTCGATCGACACGTCTTATCCCCTTTGCTGTTTGCATCCGCACTTCTCCATCCTCTCTCACTTCCTCCTCCTCTTAAACGCCCCTCACATCGCTATCCTCTTTACTCCTACCTCTACTCCGCACACACACAAACATCCACATTCGACCTTCGCTTTCATCTTCCACCACATCCACCATGGCCGCACTCTCCGCCTCCGCCACCAGCCTCGCAGTTGCTGTTGCACACGCCGTCACATTCCTCACCCGCCCGCTCGCCACTCGCCTCGCCGCCAGCACGTTCAACGCACTTCAGACCGCACTCGAGGCGAACCTCGCTGCTGCTTTCGCTGCCACTTGGGCACCTCACGATCCCACACGTGGATCTGGTCGCCGCGTCCTCAGCTTTGCGCCTGGCGCTCTCCCGCCTCGCCCAGTCTACAAGGCCTGTGTTGCTGCAGGCGTCGACTGGTCAATGTGGGGCCCGCTTCTCGGCGATAAGGAGTTCGATCTCGCTGTGGACCCGGGCTGTGTGTCCGTCAGGATCTCCAACATGTGGGCGCCGCCGACTTGCTGCACCATCTGGCCTGAGGAGCAACAACAGCAAAGCGACTTCGTGCAGACTCAGCGCAGTCGCGGTGTCCTTACGCCGCAGCCTCAGAAGACGCTTGCGCAGCGCCTGATCGAAGACGACGCCGCAGATGAAGAAGTCCTCTTTTCACTGCTTGCTGCCGAGATGCGTGAGCCTGCATGGAAGTCGCCTGTCACTGACGCTTTCCCTGCGCCTTCGTTCGGTGCAATCGGTGCTGCTTCTGCTCTTGCCAATCCCGCCGCGTCTTTCTTGGGCCACTCGCGCTCTTCGTCGCGTTCCTCTGTGAATTCCGCCAGCACCTCGAGCTCCTTTGTTTCTGATGACGCGCTGTCCTCCTGCGGCTCACTCTCATCCGTCTCCACGGGCGCATCCTCTTCTGCATATTCGGATGCAGGCTCGATCGGCAAGAAGTCCGGACATGGTCGCAGCCGTTCCACGCGTGTCTTCATTGACATGAGCCGCAATGAGGTGACGCCGTACGACGGCGGGAAGACAACCGTCCTCACAGGTGGCGTTATGCTCGGTGCTCCGCCCGCGCGCAACACTTTCGCTGGTTCTCGCAACAAGCTTCCGCGTTTCTGAGTCCTGTCATGAACCATGTGGTTGACACACTTTGCAACTTGCATTCGGTTTCTATTCTTCATTCAGTCACTTTTACACATCTTTTTCATCATTTCATGAAAAGCATTGGCATTCAGTTAGAACCCCCTACGACGGCTCTCTTTCACTATTTTAATTGTTCTTTCACGACAGGTTTGACACTCGACGACGTGCAACGACGTACACCATTTTTTTGCATCACTGGCATTTCTACCTACTAGCATTTGCGCTCGAATTCTGCATCCCCCACATATACTTAATTGCTTGACCATTTCTTTATTTTTCTTCGAGTACAACGAGACGCTGTTGCGTCTCCTTTCTTGCTTGGTCTCTCAATCTCAAATTTTCTTTCCGAATCCAACGTCCTACGAACTCCCCAATGACACACACCGATTGTGTATTATCGCTTGCTTGCTTGCATTTTTTCCTTTTTCTTTCAACAAGTTTGAACGCCCGACCCAATTTTCAATCTTCATTCCAACTACCTCTAGCAATCATTTATCGTCATTTTATGTGTTTAAAGACCCAGGGACTTTTGTTGCAACAGACTTGACTTCCTCTTTGTCTCTCAATCTCTACTATAGCATAGTGGGTACATACGTATTATAATAGTTTGCCTTTGCCAGTGAAATTTGTTCGTTCGAAACGTGTATTCAATACGTCCAGTTTGATAACTTTACTTTTGATTGACTATTTCGTGTGGTGGTACGCTGACTAAGCATCTGTTTGAGTTTTATGAAGCTTCGGCTTGTCTTGAGTTTGTTCTTTATGAAACCAGCTTGACGACGACGGATTGACTTTATTTTGTGTGCTTTCCTGTCTCTTCGCCTGGTGCACTTTTACTTGAAGTGTGCTATGGTTGTGGGTCTGGTAGAGTAGCTCTTGGGACCCTCGCCTTGAGTTCGGATGGCTCTTGTGCGAAGCACTTTGGTGGGCTGTTCGAAATTTGGAGGAGGGACATGCGATGATGCATGTGGTGCATATTGATCACTTGGCCCGGCGTTTGGTTGGAGACGGACGCACTGAACAGTGAGCAAGTGATGACTCGTTTCTTGTAAGATCCGTTCGTTTGGTCAACATGGCGTTTTCAATATACCGAGATGATTTCTTTCCATTGCGGTTTGTTGTTGTGTTTGTGAACTTCGCGTGTTCAATATGTTCGGCGTACGTACAACGCCTCGCCGTGTTCGAGTCTCAGACAAATTTCGGGCGCTGGACGTAAACTTGAGTGAAAAATTTGTTTGATTAGAGTAGTAACATGCGGAGAAGGCGTGCATTCATCATGCATGACTGCATGACTGCATGACGATCCGGAATTGAATTTGACTTGTGTGGAGCGTTGGGCGTGTGTTGTTATTTTCTTCCTTCCTCCTTCTCTTCAATATTCTTCCTCTTGCTCCTTCTCGTGACACGCTCACGTACTCCTCACGTTCCTCCTCTGAATCTTAACCGAAAGTCTAACCTGTCTTCTTGGGAAAAGCTAATGTCTGACGCTGTCACTTCTACTTCTATTCTTACGCCGACGGCACCGAGGAACGTTAACGGGCAGACAACTAATGGTCACGATTCTTCTACAACTAACGGCAACAAAGTTAACGGAGTGTCCAACAAGGCTGAGGACACTCTAGTAAGACCAGGAGAAACGGAAAGAGAGACAGAATCGGAATCATTAGAGAAGTTACTCCTAGTGGCAGTCGTCGTCCTTCGACAGGCAATCGACCTTGTAGATGAGAGCTTGAGTGAGGATGCGCAGTTGACGCAGGTTTCAAAGTATATTCCTGGGTCTACTATTGGTGTGTCTTTTAGTCCTAGGTTTCGCATACGTTACTGAACATGAGGTTTACTGCATGTTCTGTTGTTGTGTTGTAGGAAAGCACCTTCGACACGCGACGGATCATTTCTCGCTCTTACTCGACAGTCTCTCAACAGCGGACTTAAACGCAAGCTCAACCGGTGCCAGTCAAATAAGACAAAGACAAAGAGAGCCAGAGTCAGAACCGGAGCTATTAGAACTCAACTACGACGTCCGCGCACGCGGTACGCCGATGGAGAGCTCTCGCGCCTCTGCACGGGCTACGTTGGAGAGTACTATCGCTCGATTGCAGAGGTTGGTTCCTGGGGCGGAGAGGGATAGGCCTGTGAGGTTGAGAGCTGTTACGCCGTATGCGCAGACGTTTAGGACAAGTTTTGGGAGGGAGTTGTGGTTTGGGGCGTTGCATGCGGTGCATCATTGGTCTATGGTGAGCTTCGCCTTCTTCTCGTTGTCGAAACAGGAAAATATGTTGATGGACTGTATAATAGGTCCGAGTAATAGCAGGCGAACTTGTACGTCCGATTCCTACGTCCTATGTTCCCAAAACAATTGAGTAACAACATCACTTTTAATATTATTCAGGGCATCCAACTCGAAGACTCGTTCGGCGTCGCACCGTCTACACTCGTACATCACGGATCCGAGGCCCCGCTTGGGAAAGCTAAGATCTAGTCGTTGTTTTCTTTGCGGTTACCTCGGGCATTAATATTAGTGTTGTTTTCTTCCTAAATGTTGTCTGGGGATCTGGGAGTCCAAGGAGCGAAGGAAGCATTCCCTTTGTCCTTGTTGTGTTGTGTGTTTCATCGTTGTCTTTCCTCCTTCATTTCATTTCAGTTGTTGTGTGTACATATGGTCCTGTGTAATACCGCATGCATGTACTAGAAGATCACGGTGTTATTGAATCAAATGTGATTCATGGAAAATATGCGAACATAGTGAATTGTAACTCTTGCTGAGAAGCTCTTTTTTACTTTGGTAAGATGGTTTTGGTAAGATAGCATGATCTGCGCGTCGATCTAATTTTAGTTCAAGAGCACGTTCTTCTCCAGTTCGCTCACCAACCAGCTAAACTTCGGAGTTTAGTTCTTTTGCTCCTTGTGCTCTTTCTGGCTTTTCTAATAAAACGCGAAGCAGGATGACGCAACCTATGGTACCTATTGATGGCGAACCCAAGAAACGCGTCGTACGTCCTACTTTCACTCTTCAATACTCTTACGCATAATGATACTGATGTGCTCACGCACGCGCACTTGTTTTGTATGTTTTTTTCTTATGTGGCTCACTTGGATACACCTGGATAGTGTTATTTCTTCGACCCAGATGTTGGAGGGTTTCATTATGGTCCTGGACATCCGTACGTTGTCCTTTCTTTCTTCTATATTCTTTGTTTTTGTTGGGTATGTTGCTGAAGGTGTGATTCTTGGTTTTGTGTTGTAGGATGAAGCCGACAAGGATACGAATGTGTCATTCTCTTGTTATGAACTATGGGTTGTATAAGAAGATGGAGATTTTCGTACGTTATTATTAACACTCAAAATCTGCTACGAACAGTATGCTAACGAGGTGAATTGGACTTCTCAACACCTCGTTTGCAAACACGATAAATTATACTGTGATACTTTGCACGACAACGAGTAGCGCGCAAAGCCAGCCACGGAACGCGAAATGACACAGTTCCATTCGGACGAATACGTCAAGTTTTTGAAGCGCGTTACCCCTGCGAATATGAGTTCCTTTGTTAAAGAACAGCATAAATGTTCGTCTTCTCCCTCCTCCCATCTCCACATCGTATTATGGTGAATTCGGCTAATGTAGCCACGTACATATTTATATAGATAACGTAGGAGACGACTGTCCTGTGTTTGATGGGTTGTTTGATTACTGTTCGATCTCGGCTGGTGGTTCTATGGGTGCGTTTTCTGGACTATGTTGATCATCATGTATTGTGCAGGGGAAGTTACTGACTGATGACGATTGTGTTCGTTCTTTAGAGGGTGCGGCGCGTCTAAGTCGGGATAAATGTGATATCGCTGTGAACTGGGCGGGCGGGTTACATCATGCAAAAAAGAGCGAAGCGAGTGGGTTTTGTTATGTTAATGGTATGTTGCATTGCATTCTTTTATTCTACTTCCCGTTGATTCTGATGAGCTGTGCTGCAAGATATCGTGTTGGGAATCCTCGAGTTATTAAGGTACGCCAACCTCCTCTCCAATACGTCAAACAACAACGCAGCCTAACATGAACTCCTCCGGAACAGATACCACAATCGCGTACTATACATCGACATCGATGTACACCATGGCGACGGTGTCGAAGAAGCATTCTACACAACAGACCGCGTCATGACCGTCAGTTTCCACAAGTACGGTGAATACTTCCCTGGGACGGGTGAAGTTCGGGATATTGGTATTGGGAGAGGACGAGGTCACTCGGTGAATTTTCCGTTGCGAGATGGGATTACGAACGAGAATTATAAGGCGATTTTCGAGCCGGTAAGTGCCTACAAAATATCCACAATATCAGGACTACTATTCTGGACTGCAGAATTGACGCCTTACACTTGGTCTTTACAGGTCATCAACGAAGTGATGCGTGTGTATGATCCTGGTGCGATCGTACTACAATGTGGAACGGACTCGCTTTCTGGTGACAAGCTTGGGTGCTTCAACTTATCCATGCGAGGTATGTGTCGCTTTCCTTGTTCTCGAGTGCGAAACTAAGACATTCGGGTCTATTTAGGGCACGCAAACTGCGTAAAGTTCGTCAAATCATTCAACAAGCCTTTGCTCATGCTTGGTGGAGGCGGGTATACGATGCGAAACGTTAGTCGAGCTTGGGCGTACGAAACCGGTCTTGCAGCAGGCGTGGAGCTTGGAAGCGGTACGGAATGAAACATACCACTGAATCTACATACTGAAAAGTGCTAATCTAACTATTGAAAAGAAATTCCTGTTAACGAGTACTATGAGTATTTCGGTCCGGACTACAAACTTGACGTGCGGTCGTCAAATATGGAAGACTTGAACACTTCCGCGTACTTGAACCGCGTCAAGAGTATCGTGATGGAAAATCTCAGATCATTGGGCGGACCACCCAGCGTTCAGATGATGGGTAAGCAGTAGCATTAATCAAAGCATGCCTATTAACTCGCTGCATTTACTTCTGCTTTTCAGACATACCGCGACTCCCTATTGACGACGTACTTGATGATCCAAGTCGAGACGAGGACACGGTAAATCCTGACAAGCGCCGACCAATGCGGTTACTGGATAGTCTTGTACAGAGGGATGACGAGTTCTCAGATTCGGAGGACGAAGGTGAGGGCGGACGGAAGAACCACGCGCGGCATCGCGATGCGGATAGCGCCGTCTCGCCCAGTCGACGCTTCGGAGTCGGTGTTGGCATCATGGGTGCTGCTCCTCCTGGTCTAGGCTCCGCAGCGGCGGCTGTTGCCGGTGGCGTACCAATTGGTGTGGGTGGTGTAGGTAGTGGTGGTCCTAGCGCGCATATAGCTGTGGAATCTCTCGTAAAACGCAAGGGCGAGGACGAAGATGAGGTAACCGAGGTACCGATGGATGATGAGTCGCTCCAGGCAGATGTGGTGATGGATGATGCGGATGAAAATGCAGAGTCGGCAGCAGCGACTAGCAATAAATCTATTACGCCTCCTCAGGAGATGGAGATTGAAGACACTCCGCCACCCCCACCGCCTGTGACTACTGTGTCAGGTGGCACGACCAGCGAGGCGAATCATTCGTCTTCAAAAGCACCAGAGCGTGCACCTTCGGAGGCGCAGTCATAGATAGTGCCTAATGTAATTTAATTTGTTGCTTTGCTATGTGCTGTATTCCATCAATTTCAAATGTGTTCTTCTACTGTATTTACGGAATGGATAAGCTTGACGCGCAGGATCGACGTGTACATGAGTCAGCCGACCGTTAATTAGTGCGAGAACGTCCCTCAAGGTTATCCGTCAGCAACCGCCATGAGTGCACGTCCAGTTACTCCTCCTCCACGTCAGGACAATGATATCCTTCAAAGCATACAGCTTACTCCCGAGCAAGTCAAAAGGGTAGAGCTTAATAGACTCAAAGGCCAGCCCTATGTCCTAACAACTGTGCATTTCAAGCTCCCAAGCTGACACGAACCACAGCAAAGGCACGTCAACGCGAACGCGAACAAGCCGCTACAGCTAGTTCTTCCTCTAGCAGCACAACTAATGCGAATAACAAACGTCCATTAGGAGTAATACCTGCGTCGTCAACGTCTCCAACAGGAGCACCGAAACCGAAACCTAAAGATCGGCCCCTTCAGAGAGATGCGCGGTTGGGGAAGTACTTTGACTATGATTTGTCCAAGATGGTGAATTCGAAGGGAGGGTTCCTTGTTGATGATGAGAAGGAGGTAACGGAGGATGCGCGTATTAAGGAAAGAGAGAGGGAGAGGGAGCGGGCGATGCAGAATTTGGAACCGGGTGAGTTTCTGTCATTTCTTTTCTACCCTGTATTTGTTTGCGACTCTGATAAACTAATGAAAATTATGAACAGCTATGTCACTGGATCCGACGAAGAATCCGAAATGCGAAGAGTGCGGATCGATCTACATTGACCAGACATTCAGGAAAGTCCTTCGATGTCTCGTCTGTAACAAGTGCAAAGAAGAGAAGCCTGAGAAATATAGTTTATTGACCAAGACCGAGTGCAAGGAGGTAAATTTACAACGTGCCTACTAAGAAATGTTAACGAGCTGACATTCTTTGACTAGGATTATCTCTTAACAGACGGTGAGCTAGGTAGTAGCTTTACTGAGGGCTTGTTCTAAGCCATACTCTTACTAGCGGAACTCCGAGACGAAGAGCTCATGCCACACCTGCTAAAAGCAAATCCGCACAAAGCAACATACCACAACATGATGCTCTTCCTACGATGTCAAGTCGAGGATTTCGCGTGGAAGAAATGGGGATCACCCGAAGCGTTAGACGCAGAGTTCGAGCGCCGACAAGAAGAGAAGAAGAAAAAGAAAGCGAAGAAGTTCGAGGAGGGACTTCGGGAGCTTCGACGACGGACTCGAGAGAGTGTTTGGCAGAGACGAAAGGATGAGGAACATAAACATGTATTTGGTGCTGTGGAAAGAGGGAATAATGGGGAAGGAAGACAGGTGTGTCATGAATGTGGATTTAGTATTGAAGTCGAGGAATTCTAGAGTATCTCTTTGTTGGATGGATTGATACTTGGTGTGTGTACACCATGTCGTCACCGTTGTATAATGGAACTGATTTAGCGTTGCTAGGATGTATATTAATGAAGCATGCTGTGCTCACTCCTGAATATACCTTTAACCCTGATTCGGATATTAGGCAGACTATGAGCGCTCACGGCGAACTTGCACATCTGGAGTTGACCTCCTCCCTCATGCCGAGTCCACTGGAGTCAGTCGAAAGGGAAGTTGTTACTGACGCTATAGGCATCGAGAGATCCTCAAAGAACACCTTCTACTCGAAGTCATTATGGACGCCACATGGTCATCCCAGTGTGTATGGTGGGCAGATGATGGGTCAAGCCGTTCATGCTGCATCGTTGTACGATGATCAGTCATTTCAGTTGCATGTTCGTCTGTTTCTATTCCTCTGGCCAGTGGCGTAGATACTGAATGTATAATTTAGTCTTTCCAGGTAGAATAACTGGCACTTTTACGTTCCTTCGTATTGTCTGACATGAAGGTCATCAGTGTTATTTCCTTCACGGTACAACCGACACAGTACCAATTACATACCAGGTTTCGAGACTGAAGCAAGGCCGATCGTTCACCTCGTACCTCGTAAAGGCGACGCAGGACGTAAAGCCTTGTATGCTCTTGATGTGCTCGTTCCAGAAACCAGTGCCACATAGCTCGTTGCCATTGACTCAGTGGCCTGTGCCTGAAGACGTTCCGCCACCAGAGACACTCGAGCTTGATGGGGAGTATTATCTTAGATTGAGTAAGGATGCGAATCCGGAGATGAAACCGATTTTGCTCGGCATTGCACTAGTGAGCTCATGTGTCAAATAATCAACTACTCATGGGGCTCAGTATGATTTCTCACTTGAAAGGATAGAGCACGAATCTCGATAATTTTGACGGTGGCTGTCGACCGAGTTGGCACGGACGGCTGTTTCACGACTCTACGATGGATGAAGGCTGTTGGTGCTGCTGGTTGCGACCTCGCCACTCAAAAGGTATTGTTTCGAGGCATACAGGACCCTAGCCTACTTCCCTCTATTGATTTTCATATCTGGATAAATTGATTGACACGTTGCTATAGTGTATTCTGGCGTATATGTCCGACTTTGACTTGTAAGTTGTTATTTCTTTCTCGACTCGCAGCACGAGCTGGTTGATTTTTAACTGTCTGTGATTCCATATACAGCATTGGAGTAGCACCTAAGGCTCTCCGATTGAAACGACTGGGGCGAGGACCGGGAAACGTAAAAACGATTGTATGCCATTTCAATATCAAAATTCACCCAAATGGAACTGATTTGGTTTTGCCCGGTCAGTCTACATTATGTCATTCAATGTATTTCTATAGGTATGGATCCTTATTCTCAATTCCCGTTCGACTTTCTGAAATATCCTCTGCCTTCATTGCGTAGTGATGACCTTGCTCGGATTGGCTCCTATTTGTCGTGCGAGACAAGTCATCAGCATTATCTCGGTCCCGTTGAACTGACTCAGGATTATAGACTTCGGCTCCGTGTGCTGGCTCCGAGAGAGGCTTGGTGCTTGGAAAGGTAAGTGTATGACTCCCTGACCCGGATCATGAATAGACAGGCTAAATCCGTGTTCTTTCGAATACATAAGTTTTACACGAGAGATGGGAAGATGCTTGCTGTAGCAATGCAGGAAGGCGTAATACAGGCATATGGTAATGTAGACACAGGGGATATCGTGCGCAGTAAATTATGAGCAAGTTATATTAATAGATACCATTAATTTAAGTTAGGTTCAATTTACTGTATTACTGTAAAGTGATGCGAAATCGGAGGAGCTTCAAGGTGTGGGAATATATTAGTAAGTACTTTATAGATGAAGTGCGACACACACTTTTCCCTTCCTCATCATCACGCGCGTCGCCCACTCGACGTCGAGCTCGACACTAAAAGGGAAGGAAAAGCAGTTAACAAAAGCCGCAAGTCCCACCAGCCAAAATGGTTTGTGCACACCTCGTTAGGAACTGATTTTGAAGCCGAGTGAGCTGACCTGGTTTTGTGTTTATCGTGGGCAATCAGACTCTCGCCGTTGACCTCTTGAATCCGTCGATCGAATCCGAGAAGAGGAGGCACAAGCTTAAGCGTCTCGTACAATCGCCCAACTCGTACTTCATGGATGTCAAGTGCCCTGGTGAGCTCCAATTTTCAACTGGTCAGAATGTTGTCGCGGATGGTCATGCTGACTGAGCGTCACCCCTAAGGTTGCTTTGCTATCACCACTGTCTTCTCGCATGCACAGACTGTCGTGCTCTGTGGTTCTTGCGGGACTGTATTGTGTCAGCCGACGGGTGGTAAGGCGAGGCTTACTGAGGGTGCGTATATGCGTTGTCTTTAACTTCGACTTCGTATGCTAAAGGTGGTTGTATGATAGGATCGTCATTCCGCAGAAAGAACTGAGAGATCGATCTGCAGTATTATTACTACATTCATGCATCCTACCTGTCATACGTATTAACGTATCCGCATATCTCATCGTTGCACTTTACGCCGTCTCCATTTAGCGCGCCATCCAAGACCGCCTGTGCCCTCGCGTGATTTGTAAGACATGTTATGGCAGGGCAAGATATGCATGGGACACCAATTGAGTCTTGTCTACCTACTATGTATCGTCATGTTCATATTGTGTATGCTGCGAACCGAAAGAAATTCTTGCTCTCGTCATGCCACGAATAAACAAAAATATATCGCGAATAATCAAGATAATAGATATGCTACATCTCTCGAGATAAATCAAGATGGCACAAATTATTAATCATAAATGTTCTTCTCTCCAGTCTCTTCAATGTACCCAGTCACTGGTTGGCTATGCCAAGTTCCTTGCTCAGGCTCGACATACTTCTTTCGGAAGTACCAGATCTCAGAATCTGCAACACTGTCAGTCTTTGAGGCTTCATCTAGGTTCAAGTACAACTCACCAATCCACTCTTTGGAAGGCTTCAACTTGAGGTTTTTGTGGTTTGGATTAAACGTTCCAACCTCCCTCCAAAAGCTCATCAAAAGCCTCTCGCATCCTTCTTCAAAGCTCTCGAGTGGTTCCCACCTAGAGTTTGACCTGATCATTAGATATTCTGTGACTCTACAAGACTTGATTTCTCACGTGTCTTCACCAGGATACCCGTACCACTACAGTTTAATCAGCTTGGATGTTGTTGAAGTCACGAAGGCCTTCAATTATAGACAAACCTTGATCAAATACCACTAAATAGAGAGTCGAGTGTTCTATTTATTTCTACAAGGCTTTACTTGGACAAATTCTGGACTTACAAATCGCTTCCCGTTCATTCCGCTCATTGGCTGTGCTTCCAAGATGGCTTCTGTATTATTTCCGCGAGGAAAATGTTGGATTGATATTTTTGACAAGTCATTATGAAACTCACCAACATTATAGAGTATACGGTCCTCCGGTGATTCTGACCGTATAATGCTCTTTTTTCTGCGTTTGCGTGATTTCTTAACCTTTCCCATCGAGTTGGATAGGATGAACTAGGAGGAAAGAGAAGAGGAAGCATTTAGAATTGAATTTATATTCCGTGGGCTGAATTGCTGAAACGACGGCGTTCTGCATATGAGCATCGCGACTGCACGTGATCGGTAAGTGGAAATGGAAGAGTAGCAAGTCCAGTCCAGCGATCATCGCCTGCTCTCCGTGACACACTTCACCCACCTCTCCGAGCTCAACAATGTCCAAATCAAAGTCAAAGGCGGAGGAGGCTCTCCAATTCCTCGATGACCTAGACAACTATTCGCCAGAGGCGTCGGCTCATGGAGGGAATGCACCAGTAGCTGATGCAGCTAACCCGAGTGACCCAGCTGACGTGCTCAAGTTCATCGATGAAATAACGCAGAAGAGCTCAGAGCCGACGCGTACGACGCCTGCTCCACTTGAGAGGCCTGCATCACGGGCGAGCCTTGCAACGCCTGGAGGAACGATTCGGAAAGCGACGGAGCGAGTGAGGGTTGGCTCTCCTGCGCCGTCTTCTGCTGGCTCGAATGCATCTGCTGCGCCGCCCAGGGCTGACGCGTCTCCTCGTGCCCCTACACCTGCAAAATCAGATGCAGCTGCCACTGATGCGGATGCGGGGTCCGCGAGTAAAGGTGGATGGGGATGGGGGAGCGTGTGGTCTAGTGCGAGTGCCGCGCTGCAACAAGCTCGAAGCGCTGTGGACGAGAGTGTAAAACACATACCAATTAACGAACAAGCGGCGAAATGGAGAGAAGAAGTCATGAATAGGGTTCCTTTAAATAAGGAACAGCTCGAGAAGCTTGGTACGCAGCTTTTATTTCTATGCATTTAAGAGGTGATGTTCTGTGCAGAATGATTGAGATGCGGTTTTGTTATTTCTTTTATTAGGGAATGACCTGCGGACGGTTGGCTACTCGACGTTGACTGACATCTTGAATGCTGTTGCGCCTCCGATCTCTGAGCATGAGGTCATTCAGATTTGGTCCAGTCATGATATGGAAGGTTTTGAGGGTATTGAATCGTTAGTTTACAAGGCTTTGGCAAGGGTGAGCTTTTTTAAGTTTTTAAATTTAAATTATATCTACTCGCTTCCATTGGATCCTGATATTCGGAAAAGGTTATGGAACAAGTCGAGGGTGGTGACCTAATAGTCAACAAGGGGAAAGAATCAAACCCGAGGGAGTCGGGTTCCAAACGCAACATGAATGCTGTAGAAGGTCTTGAGACTGCACTTCGGCTTGCGGAGGTAAATTCTGTCCATTAATCTTTCCATTTCGTGTATCGTATTGAACCCACAATGTTACTAGGCTAATATCGAAGAGCTTGTCAAGTCTAACCCTCAGAATGAGAAGAAACCGCAACCATCTGGCACAGTTCCGACTACATACTCCTCAGTCTACTTGCGGATACAACCTTTCCTCTCTACTCTACCTCTCCCCGGCGGAAAGCCATCTTCACCCAAGTCATCCACAGAGCCGACCCATCTTCAATTTTTACTTTATTTATCCGATCCAGAACACCAGTTGACATTGTCGACCGTGACGCAAGCGTCACCTGCGAAATGGTTGGATCATTGGGAGAATCAGGATTGGGTTGAGGATGTTACGGCTGAGATACTGAAGACGGGCGTTGAGACGATAGGGCAAGAGTACATCGTAGCGAGGATGGGATGGTTGAAGGAAGATGCGGTATCTGTGACCCCGGAGAAACAGGAGGAAACGAAATGACGCTTTGTCGTGTTGCTAATTTGCTTGTACTTGTTCATAGTGTTTTATCTGGACTGTCTTTCCATATGTATTATTTTGCTACGAGACGTATATCCCAATTTGACAGTACGACAAGAGCTTGCACGAACATGATGTTATTATAAGGCTATGATACAATACAAAAGACATGAGTTAGATTACATCGCAGATAACTCCGACTCTCTCCTCGCAAGGTCATTAACCTCTGCCTCCAATGCAACATTTGCAAGCTCAATTTGCAGCACGGTCGAGATTAGTTCTGTCCATCGCGTCTCGAGAGAAGTAAGTTGAGCACCCAGTTTTGTCTACAGATTAAAAGATATTAATACAAACACATAAAGCGTTGAAAGAAGGGAATGGCTTACTTGAAACTGCTTTCGCTCTCTATTTACATCCGTCGTCCTATTCCTCAAGTCTTCCAACGCTTTCTCTAGCTCCTTCGCTATATGTTCCATGAGGTAGTTTTGGATCTTCCATGCGTTTGTGCCGTATGTTTGGAGGAGTGCGATGTTGTTTTGTCTTGCACATCAATGTCAGTCAAATGGATCTTGAATAAGTAATAGCATATTGAAAGACATACCGAATTCGTTGGTGCTCGAGTTGAGCTTTTGCATTTTTCAGTGCTGCTTGCCAGTCTTCGTCGGTTGCTGGTATGTTCGTTGGAGCGGGCAGTTGGTAGCGGATGGTGTCTAGAGGGGGGATAGGTTGGTGCGATTCGACGCGTTCTAGTTCAGCTTTTAGTAGAGGGTTGTTCTGAAAGCAACATATTTCAATGTCAATTAAAAGACACTTAGATGATATTTTATAATGACACGCACGGAAAATAGCTCTATGGGAGGAGGGACTTTAGGATGGAGAGTTTGTGGATTATTGCGGCTTTCTCGAACAAGTTCTGCTTCGACTTTTTGTTTTAGGGCTGGATGGACGTCGAGATCATTGTCGTAGTATGGAAGAGAGTCGAATATTTCTTGTTCGACGTGTTGTTGTTCAGACATGGTTGGCGTGCTAGATTGGATTCAAGCCGCAAATCATAAGTGCTTGTTGTAATGACTGAAAGTTCCCACGATTACAAGCCGTGACATCTTGCGCGCAAGTGAGCTGGAGTTTGCAGGACTTCAAACATGAATATTCCCGCCATGGCGACTAGAGGTCTTGGTAGGGCGACAGTGTTGTTGCGTTCCTCAAGGGCGACGACAGTTGTTGCTAGACCTGCTGCTGCTCGCCTGATAAGCAGCTCTTCCCGCTCACAAGGCAAGTTCATTTCGTGCTGAGGAAATACAGGTGTAGTCTGACATGCAACGTTTACCTAGCGTCCTCTTCGCCCTTCGTCGAACAGACTTCTCCAAACCCAACTATTACGCGCTACGCACAGACGACAGAGTCGTTACACCACTATGGTTCATACCTAATGCAGTCGCTGCCCAAATTCGTGCAGCAGTTCTCCGTCCTCAAGGACGAACTTACGCTGCACATCTGCCCATCTGGTGTCGTCCCGGTACTCACCTTCCTACGTGACCATGCGCAATGTCAATTTAAGAGCGTTATGGATATTACGGCTGTTGACTTCCCGGAGAAGGATAAACGATTTGAGGTCGTGTATAATTTGTTGAGCTATAAGTACGCGGGGAGGATTCGCGTGAAGACGTATGCTGGAGAGGCGGATGCTGTTCCGAGTGCTTGTTCTGTGTTCCGTGGAGCTGATTGGTATGCAATATGTTCATTTATTTGATGGTTGTCTGACAGTATATGATTATAAAATAGGTATGAACGGGAAACTTGGGATATGTATGGTGTATTCTTTTCGGAGCATCCTGATTTGTGAGCAATACCCCTTGGATTTTTTCTCGCTGCAATGGTCTGATGTCTATTTTAGGCGTCGTATTTTGACCGATTACGGTTCGTGTTCTAACACTTTTGATACCATTATATCGTTTATTATTGTCTTATGCTACTTTCTATTCTTTCATAGGCTTTGAAGGGCATCCTTTGCGAAAGGACTTCCCGCTCACTGTGAGTAGTCATTATCCCATTGTCCTCCAATTATCAATACCATTTTTCCATTAGGGTTACACTGAAGTACGCTACGACGAGGAGCGAAAGCGCGTCGTGTATGAGCCTTTGCAGCTCACTCAAGCATTCCGGTAAGCCAATTATATCAACCCTTCGTCCCTTTGTGCTCAGGCCCGCCGCAGTAACTTTGAGTCGTCGTCGCCATGGGAAATGGTTGGAGACGGTACACCTGCTAAGCGCCCAGACGACCTCAAACCACTACCGCCGCCCCCACCCCCACAGGACCAGAAGAAATAGTAGCATTGCGTTGAAACGTACTTTAATTATCACTTCTGTCCTTCTAGCGTGGTCTAGTTTTAGAACAAAATATTATTCAACTTTACAATACACCCATTGTTTGTGTTTGAACGGATTGAGAGTGAGGAATGTATACATACAGACGGAGATGTTATGAATTGGGTTACGTAATCATATTCTGAAAGAAGCCCTCTAAGGACACAACGAACGCCTCTCAAGTTTGCATCGGGGCACATCCCGTTTTGTATACTTCGTCCTCTTCTGCTGCTGCTTTCAACAGCAGCGCACCACATTTACCATTTACCCAAGGTGTGTAAATAGTTCTTGATGTGAGCGGAGATTGGTCGTTGACGCACAGCTTGTATCAAAAATCTGGCTTTCTTGCTTATGGTCCTCGCGTTGGCACGCAATCACGGTGCAGTCACGCTATACACAAATCGCGCTGCGTCGTTCTGACGCGTGTATGGAGAACAACGACACTCAACCGTCCGTCGCCTCCGTCGTTTCTAGCAAGCCCGAAGGAGTTGCCAGCGAAGCCCAGCCGACAGGAGACTCCGACAAGGCCGCAGACTCAGCTTCTGTACAACTGCGTGAGGAGGCCGTTAGTCACGCCGACCCAGGTGCGACGAAAGAAGATTCCGCACAGGCGAATGATCTTGTAGAAGCGCAGTCGGGCGCTCGGGACACCTCGTCCGCGGAAACGAAGCCTGCAGGCCCGACTCCAACGGGCAGTACGCAGAGCTACGTGCCACCGGTAAAGAGGTTTAGTGCAGTAAACATCAATAAGAAATTCCTGCAAAAGAACCAGTCCTCAACAACAGCGAGCGGTGGCTCTTCGCCAAGTTCGACGAGCAGCAAACAGGCTGGCGTTATAGGTACGCGCGCATGCTGATAGCCTAACTTTAGCTTTACTCCAGATGTTGACGAGATGTATATTTTTTCTTTTTTGGCTTAATTTGGAAATAGCGCGGCCTGCACCTCAGTCAGCTCATTCGCACTCCCGGTTGGTTACGGCTAAGCTTACTGCGTCGCCTCACTCGACTTCGCCGGGACAAGGATGGTCGCGACCGAATTCTGTCACGCCTCCTGCTCCTTCCCCTGCGAACGCAGCTGGACCCGCAAAGGCGGGAACACTAACTGCTGCTGCTCCCGTTGGCGGCCATGGTCTTCCACACATTGCACCTGGAGGCAAGATTATACAACCTCAGGTCCTCAAACAGAAGCTGGACGGAGCTGCAAGGCCAGCATGGAGAAATGTACAACCGGGGACTTCAAGCTCTGGCCTTCAAGTTCAGAACGAATTTCCTACTGCAGCTGAGGCTGCACAGAGTACGCTGGCATTTATTACCTCAAAATGTCTCAGTAAATTAATGGATTTAATTATTCTAGGTCGCCTTCTGAAACATGCGGAAGCGAAAGCAGCTACGGAAGTTTCTGATGCGCAGAAGCAAGCACTGAGTGAAACGGCTGATGCCTTTCGTGGTGTACATTTGGATCCAAATGCACATCATTGGGATGAGGTACGACCTTTACTCTATAAATATTGTCATATGTTTCTAAAATTTATGTAAAGATGGAGGAAGAAGATAATGATGACTTTTTGGGAGATGTCATTGAATTTGCCGACGGAAGGCAGTACACCATTCATGTCGATGGAGCCGAAGCGGATCAAAAAGCTGCTGATGATACGCCTGGCAATGTCGGCTCCGAAGCATCAGTCAGCAAAGTAGACCGGTTTGTGGACGACTTCGACAGGAGTTGGCCCAAATCTCGACCAGAATCTGGATCGCATAAGGATGAATCCTCGCGTTTCGGTAGTGCTGCTCACTCGGAGACTTCGTCAGATTTTCCTGGCCACTCACCGGTTTCCACACGCGATGGCTCTCAGTCTCGGGTACTCTTCAACGATCGATTAAATCGCATGGAGCCTATTTCAGGCGGCCGACATGGACCTGGTCCTCAAATCCATACTCATGGGGGACAGGGCTTTAGGGACGGTCCAAGTGGTTCAGGTCGTTTCCACGGAGGTCGACTAGAGCGAGAAGCTCCTCCGCATACTTCTTTCACAGGCTCCCGAAAGCCGCACGAAGGCTCGTGGAATGTGCCGCATGGCCATGAACTATCTCAACGAGACGGTCGAGACATGAAATCCCATTCTCCTACGACTTACTTCCATAATGAGTATCATGATCGCAAGGGAAGATCTGGCTGGGGACAACCGCCCAACGGTCGGCAGTTCCCTGGCAGAGATCCATCTGCGTCTCGTTCTACCACTAACGGTGCCCCGTCAGTAGCTAGCAGCGATGATCACAGCAGTAGACATGCGCCTTCTGTACGAGACCAACAGCGAGGACGGTTTCCTTCACCTGGGCATACGAGGGACCTGGATAGACAAGCACCACCACATCTTGCGTATACTCACTCCGCTCTTCCTCCTGAACGACCTCAGGATGCAGCTGACTCTGACAAGCTCAGACAACGAAGACCTTCTGATGCTCTTTCTCAACCTAGTGTTGGTAAGGGTCGTGAACCAACTCAGTCCCAACCTGCTCACTCGGCGCAAACCCAACCTGAGGCAACGTCGCCGAAAGCAACTGCACCAGGTCCTGGAGATGATGTCGAGGCGGTGCGCAGAGCTTACCTTGCCGAAAGCGCGGAACGCGCGAAGAAGCGTCGCCAGCAGGAGGAAGAAGAACGGTTGAAGGCGCAAGAACGAGCGAGGAAGAAGGCAGCTGAACTAGAAGCGAAGATTGCAGCGTCCAAAGCTACTGAAGCACCTAAAGACACGCAGCAGTCTTCGACGAAGCCTGCTACGGATAGTACGGCTGCGGCTCCGCCGGCTGCGAACAAACCAACAGAGGTTCGTCTTTCAAGAACCTTCACGCTTAACTATTGAGGATATATTCATTTACTTTGCATTCATTTGTTTTTTGTTTAGGCCGAAGTTCTTCACGTCATAGAAGAAGCCATTGGCTCGGCTACGACATCTGACGCTGCATCGAACAGGATAGGAGAAGGTCGCGCGAAGGAGGGCGCTACGACCTCGAGATCATCATTCGTGAAGACTTTCACACATGAAGATAACAACCAGTCTTCAGTTACACGCGACGGTCAGGCTTCGACTCAACCTAGGCCGCCTTCAGCCGCAGTATCTGACCGGGCAGAGTCGTGGAGATCGAGAGCCAAGCCTCCTACCCTTCCAGCGCAGAATTCGAACAAAGATATTTCTCGAGAACCTGCTGAATCAGTGCTACCTGCTGTGCGCGCCTTCGAGTTTCAGGCTGACGAGAGCATGGAGGTCGTTGACTTTAGTGATATGGGTCGCCTGACTGGAGAACGAACATCCCAGAAGCCTGTACCCGAAGCTCAATCGGTACCTTCAGGTCGACCCGTCGCAAGCGACTTTTTCAATGCACCTAGAGCGACATACACAGAGCAAGATTCTTGGCGTAGGGGTGGTGCGGTTTCACACCAGACTGATCCTTCGGCGACTGGGAACGAACAAGGTCGTGCATCCTACCATGAGTCGCCTGCGGGTCCGTCTGAAGCCAACGCTGCTTCTATTAAAGGTGAAGATGTGGCTAACGCGCACCCGAACGCTCAAGGCCATCTAAGGGCACCTGTGTCTCCTACGACTAGTACTATTCCTCAGCATATGCAAGGTTACCCTGGGCATCAATCTTCTCCAGGTGCTCCTAGGTTTCTTCGATCGCCAAATGCCTCCTATCGGGAAGCACCTCTCTCCGCTTTGGATGATACGATGTCACGTATTAAGGGTGCATTGGACGTGATGCATTCTGTGGCTGAACACGGGAACAAGCCTGATTCAAAGGATGCTAGTAGTTCCCCTAGCATGCATCTTGCAGTCCCAGTATCTATCCCTTCAAAGCCTAGTAAATGGCTTCCGCCCGCTCTTCGTCCGCAAGGCATGGCGGTCAATACCAGACGCGCAGAGACATTTGAACCTACTCATCCGGAACCTCCTCGGAGTCCTGTGCCTCCCGATAGCAAATTCACGATCCGTCTACCTTCCGTCTGCCGACGTATTGAACCGCTGACCAAGAGGCAAATCAACAACTACCAGAAGTACTTCGGCCCGGTACGATGGGAGATTTTGTCATTTGAGCCGCCCGTGGAAGGGATGACGAAGAGGAATTTGTCGGTGAATGATGTATTGTTCAAGAGGCCCACTGGTCCATTCAAGCTGAGGAAGTACCGAGTTGTTCTACCTCCTTCGAGCATGCCGTCACAGTCCTCGGCAGTAAAGGGTTCGCAGAGGGTTGTAAGTGACGCAACTCCCAGTACATCGGCTTCGAAAGACATGGTAAATGGAGCTTTCGGGAAGGCAAGAGGCGAGACGAGTAGTTGGCGGTCCACCTCCGCAAGTGCCCGAGTAGAAAGCGAAGTGTCCTATGCTTCATCGGTACTTGATGTTACCAGCAGGTCTCCTCCACCGGAATTATCGGTGGCACCGAGGATGGAGTTTTTACCGACAGTCTCTGGCATTGCGAACAAGCCGAAACCTTCACAGAAATCTCTAGACGTGGTCGATGTCGCGTTCTACAGAGACGTACGACAGCAAGTTGATAGCAGTGTTAACGTCCCTAAAGTGACTTTCACGGTTGGTAGCGAACTTGATGGCCCTATAGACAAATCACCGTTGCGTAAATCTTCTGTTCTTTCCGCAGAAGGGACAAGAAGTTCTCCCAGCGCGCTCGTTGAATCTTCTACGCAGGAAGTCAAGAACGCCTCGATGCCGAGTCCGAATTTGCTGTCGGCTCCGTTAATACCGTCGAGTAATGCGGACTCGTTTTCATCGTCTCCGGCGGCGATAACGAAGACCCTGAATCACACGACTGTCGATGAAAAGGCGATTGAGCCGCAGGTAAGTGACCCCAGAGTTTCTGCACGCATCTTTCTGACTGTATTCATTAGAGTGACCCTTTCTTACAAAAGCCACCTGCAACTCCGCCGCCGCAAAATACGTCCTCAACATGGGCAAAATCACCTGCTCGAGTACCCGATCCAGAGCACTTAAAGGCCGTTTGGTCACAAGCGTCGAACAACGATTCTGTCCCTACGGTCAATTCTCTAAAGAGCATCGCGGACGACCTCACTGCTGTTCCTTTCACGCTTCAAGAGGTGAAGTCGGAAGGAGGGACACCGCCACCACCTCCGGGTCCGGTTGCACCACCTACCCGAATGTCTGCTTCTGAGGTTACGAGGGCATTCCAGACAGTCCCGTCTGCACCCTCCAATGGCATGCCTGCAGCATCGTTACGAAGTAACCAAATGCCCTCGAATCTAAGCTCGCCAATAGGGCCGCAACGAGCGTTGAAGCCACCGGCTATCGGTTTACCTCCTCCCCCTGCTATGAATCCTGGTGCTCCTCGGCCACCATACATGGCCTACTCCACGTCGATGAGCAATCACTCGCCAAGTCCTCCTACCTTGGTGTACTCACACGTAATGCCAAGTGGAATGGCCGGCTCTCCCTCTACATCACCCTACGGACAGCCTGTTTGGATGCCCGTGGTACAGCAGGGTACACAAATAATCCGAGCACAGCCCTCATCGCCTTACAGCCCGTCACTTATGCCATACGCCGTACCTAATGCACAAAACGGAGTGTATCCCTCCAGCAGCATGTCGAATCCACAAGGGTCACCAGCAACGTATCCATCCGCACCACCTTCTCAAATGATGGTTAGCCCTGTAATGTCGCATGCTTCGACTGCTCCTCCGCAAGCTATGTACTCAGGCAGTCCAATGGTAATGCACGTAGCTCCTCCCGGTGGTGCCCCTCAACCCCGTGCGTATCCACCGGGTGCAGTCGGATTAGGTCGAGGTTCGATGCCAGTCCAAGTTCCAAATCCAATGGACCCGCGTTCCCACCCACCTCATGGCACTCCGGCAGCTCCCGTATCGCGGTACCCTGTTCATAATCCCGCCGGGTATACGCCCGCCCCTCCGCAATCATACGTTCGGCATTGGTAAAAGTGGAATACAGACTTGGGTCTTTAACGTAGATTTCTTGTGTGTGCTGATGTGTTCCTCGCTGTTTGTTGTTTGTGTTCATGGCATATATTTGATTCGTGGCACTACTAGTATTTACTTTATTCCTCTAGCTAGCAATTTTGTTCATCTGTTCATCTGTGCATTCATACATTTTTGTAATTGTTACACATTTGTCTCTTTCTGTTCTCCCTTTTTCTCACTCGCTCACTCATTGAATTTGATTGGCTTTGAGCTATTTCTTGCTACCGTGCAGTGTGGAGTTTTTGTGTGTCATTGTCAGAGAAGAATAACAATTGCCAAGAACTGGCTTGAGGAAGAAAGCTCGTCTATTAGATTAAATTAAGCAAATTTTTGATACAGGTTCAAAATATCAGCCCAGACATGTCAAAGTAAAAAGCTAGAAACGTGGCTTTTTACTTACCAGAGAATATGCCCATCTGCCGTTTCGCCCAATGGGTTTATCTCAATCTGCTTCGCGTCCTCAAAAATCTCGTCTTGCTTGTACAGATTCTGGAACGTCTCCACAGCCTCTCTGCCTGCTCACGTGAAATCCGACGTAGCCATTCAATCCGGATTATGGAACTGAATAACGTCTCAGTGCGACAGCCACCATGGCCTGTTCCCCTGCCGCTAGATCATCTTCCCTCTGGATATGGTTGGGAAGAGCGTAGTGTGTCGATTTTGTCGACAGCATCTGCATGCGATGCCAGAATAGATGAACAGGATATGTTTCTTGGGCGGGAGCTTGCTGTGTTATCTGTCCAGGAGAGGACAACAGAAACGTGCTTCAACATTGCTATATCGTGGGCCAGTCAGAAGAGGATGTTGTTAGCGAAAATTGTATTGAGTGCCTCTTCCCCATCGTAAGACTAATGTGAGTTACAGTAGTTGGCACTCAAGACCTGTAGGTCAAGTTGGATCCTTCTGCAGGCAGGCTAAACAAAATATTATTGTCCACAACATGAACTCAGAACTGAGTGATAGCCTGCTTATTTATGTATGGGCCATCACAAAAACAAACACGAAAATGTATTGGAATATATTGCTAAGACATATATTTTTTGTATATTGTGGGTCCTTATGTTCGATTGTATTGTCTACATGTACATATATTGCCTTGTCAGACTCTGCACAAAAGTGTGATGTGGTGACCACTGACCATCGCCTTGCATTTGAAAAACTATGATTTCTTTATTCGATTTTTGTCCTGGGGTAAGTTTATAACTTTATTTCCATCAATGATCACTGCCTTTTGAGCTGAGTGTTCACGACGAGAGAAGTTGACGAGTATTAACTTGACAGATTCGCAAGTTTGTACTCGTCAACTTCTCTGGTCTGGTACACGCACTCTTCAAGACTTCAACAGTTCCATGGTAAGATGATCGTTCTCGATATCAGATATCAGCGATCGTCACGCGCATTTCCCTTCCCTATTCATCATCCACGAGATGCGTGCTCGTTGGTTCTACCTCTTTAATTCTGTTAGTCTAGATGTGCCCGACGACCCAACCTGGTAAGACTGGATCTTGTCAGTCAGCATATTGAAAAGACAATATATCTAGCAATTCAGCAAAAAAATTCAATCGAGACAGTCTCTTTCCCTCCTTTCCCCCC